TGTGAGAGGTATCCACTTATCAATGGGGGAATCGAGTCAGTGAACAAACAGATGAAGGTCATTAAGGTGGTCCTCGTGGCCCTTGTTGTTCTGGCCATTGTGTTTGATCCTGTTGACGCTTGCTCTCGTCGCCGTCGCCGACGCCGCCGCCCGCCGCCTCCCACGCCTTCGCCGACGCCGGCACCGACGCCTGCTCCCTCGCCGCCGCCGCCACCGCCGCCGTCGCCGCCTCCGTCACCGCCGCCGTCTCCTCCCCCACCGACGTGGCCTCCGCCGACATCTCCTCCTCCACCGGCGGCACTGCCGCTGCTAAAACAGCCTCCGCCGCAGGACGGCAACGTGGTCGACATCGACGACCTGGTTGACCCGCAGACATTTGTCACCACGCGTGGCATTGTGCTCTGCCGTGTGCCGCCCACTGAGGCGACGAAGTCTGTTCAGGAGGGCTGCTAACGACAAGCTTCCTGCGGCGATATACGTCGACATGGAGATGTTCAAGATCGATAACCCCGAGGACTGCGCGTGTGGCGTTGCGGTCAAGAACCAGCAGGACACCATCTCGGCGTCTGTGCCGGATCAGAACAAACGCCGGTGCGACTGTGGTCAAAGCCGTTTGACTTCCACGATCGCCGACATCCAGCATGTTGAGTTCATCGTGTGGGACATTGAGAACGGTGTCAAGCTCCGGACGCTCGACAAGTTCAACCTTGCTCCGTCGATCAACGTCAAGGACTACGTCCGGACGCTGCTCATCGACGCCGCGTCTGCGGTCGACATGCTTGCCGGCTTCTACGGCAAGGTCAACGACTTTAACCCGGCGGACTGGATCCTCAACGCTTCGCGCGAGGTGACGTTCATCTGCTTCACGACGGTGACGTCGTACTACGAGCGGTCGGGTGACATCAACGTGTGCAACAAGGAGGGTGTTGCTGACGAGTTTGGCGGCGTGCCGCCGTGCTCTAACCAGGGCCTCCTTGATCTGCCGGACGAGGACTACGTGCGCGAGCACGGCGTCCACCCCAAGCGTGTATTCCAGCCTGTGCAGACGCCGCAGTTCACGTACGACATTGCTGCCGGCTCGGCCACCGATGGTGGCACGAACGGTGGTGGTTCGCACCCTGTCTCGTGGTTCGGCTCGACGATGACCGGCCCGGGCACGTGCCAGACCTCTGCCGACTGCTCACGGTCGTACCACTGCGATCTCGGCACGAACACGTGCCAGCAGTGCATTCGCGACTCGCATTGCGCGGCAATTGTGGGTGAGGTCGATGGCCTTCTCCAGCCGACGTGCGTCTCCAACCACGGCCTGCGCCTGTGCCAGTTTGCCATTGTCCTCGGCGCCGCTCCGTCTCCCAACGCCATCCTCCCCGAGCCGCTGCAGACCTGCCCGGAGCAGTGCGATGGCGCGTACTGCCTTGACGGCGAGTGCGTCCACTGCCGCGAGCCTAACGACTGTGAGCTTATGTTCTCGCCGTCGTCGACGTACGCCAAGATCTGCAACGAGACGCTCGACGCCTCGACGCAGAAGGCTGTGCAGAAGGAGTGCAACTACTACTTCCTCCCGCCGCAGCAGGCCAAGAAGAGGGACCTCAGCACGATCATCGGTCTCTCGTCGGCGGTCGGCGTCCTTGTCCTCATCATTGCGGTCATTGGTGTCATCTTTGCCGTCAAGAAGTATAAGTCGTCCGAGGCGTACCTCCAGCGCAAGCTCGACGAGGATGCCAACGCCGACTCGACCCTCACTGGCTCGCCGCTCTACGACGATCCGCTCAACAAGCGGTCGAACCCGATGTACGTCGAGGCTGAGGCTTAAGGTTCCTGTCATCATTTTCCACATACTTTTTATCCTTGCAACAGTTGCGCGAGCATAGTAAACGCAGCTCGAGGGAGAGAGAGAAACATCGACAGCCAGTGGACGGATGTGACTTGCCGAGTCTTCGGTGTTTCAGCTTGCGGGAAGCTCGTCATCATGTGGGATCGACAAGCGACGAGAGGACAAGGGCCTGGACAAAGGTGCGACGGGCAGCCGAGTTGCAAAACGTCGACTGGGTGCGGCGCAGAGCCAGGAGTGGCGAGCGCGAGGCCGAGGTGCGGTCGGTGGCAGCTGATGACGAACCACCGGAGCGAGAAAGCTGTGGAACGGCGAGAGCCTGCTCCCCACTTGCTGGGTGACCAAAGCTCAGAGGCTTGCGTTCACCGGCGGATTGCTTGCGGAGCTTCTTCTTGGAGACCGGGGCGGAGGGAGGGAGGTAGCCGGTCTTCATGTCACCATGGGCGAGAAAGCGCGAGGAGTCATCAAAGGTTCGCGGAGGCTTGGCCGACAATGTGCCAAACGAAAAGGGCTTGGAACCTGATGCGCCTGTCGAGGATGAGGCCGATCGGACACGGGAACGCCACTCGTCGCGTGACGAGCCCGAGCGGAATCGGCTCGACTTGGTCGCCTGGTTCCAGTCGATGTTCATCTCGAGAGCGAGGAGCATGCGTGAGACGTCCGAGTACGACGAGGCTAAGCCGAGCTTGGACTCCCACTTGGGCAACATGCGGGGCCAGCGCGAGTGCATGACTGACGGCCGCATGGAGCGTCCGAGTGCGACAAGGAGCTCGGCGAGCGCCTGCGGCGACGACGCCGAGGAGCAGGCGTCGACCCACGGTGCCCGAATCTCTCGCCACTCTTCGCCCACGGCACTCCACAGGATAGCCCTTTCCGCCTGGAGCATGAGCTCGTTGAGCGTGCCGGAAGGTGGCCGTGACGAAGACGACATGTATAGCGGTGTGGTGTGTGTGGTCTTGTGTGTGTGTGTGTGTGTGTTGGGGGTGGGGGTGGGGGGGGTGGGGGGGGGGGGGGGTGGGGTAGTGGGACAGGTGTGTAGCACAGACCTGGCTAGCTGCGTCCCTGTTTTCTGTCGACCGAGTTTGGTGACAAGGAAGGGGCAATGGAAGAAGAGTGAACGGGCCGCCGCAGCCCAGCGTTGGACTCGGGCACACTCCTCCTGCCACCTGACAAGAGTCGGTGGACGGATACGGTGGGACAGGAAATGGCAGCTTCAAGCAGCATGGAGGCACGGTGGCGCGCAAACAAGTTGTGCATGTCTGGGATGACTCTGCATTGGTTTGTCACGGCTTTGTGGGGCGGGCGAGCTGATCTTGTCAAGGCGCTGGTGACCAGCGGGCGAGTTGCGGTCGACGGCGAGGTTGTGACCGACCCGGAAGCGCGGCTGGTGTATGGGATCGAAGACTGGCCAGAGAAGCGGACCGTGACAATCAAGTTCCCGAGCTGCGAGCCGCAGGATGTTCCATGCCCCTTTTCGGCGAGCGATCGAGCTGCGTTCGTCTGCCCGACGCGGCCATATGTTTCGGTCGGTACCCGTGATGACGACTTTCTGGCCGAGGTTCTCACTACCGCGCACCACCCGTACGTACTAGCGGTCGAGGCTGCATTGCGCGAGCTAGGCGCCGCGTGGATTGCAGGCACGGGGGCGAGATCGTTGTTCCGGATGTTTACTCCCAAGTCGTCGTTTCACCGCAAGATTGTGCACTGCCTGGCGTCGCGATTTGGGATGACTTCCACGACGCTTGAAGACCAAGCAGATGACAATGATGAGCAGGGGTACTGGTGCCTCGACTTTTGCTATTGCTGCTACGGCAACGCCACCCACGACTTTGAGTGGGAGGGTTGGCATGTGACGCGAAGCGTGATCCCGGTCAAGGTCACGGTCGCGAGCTACTCGGACGATCCGCCCTCGGTCTCTGGGCTCTTGCTCCGGCGTGGAGGTGGGGTCAGGCCGAGCAGGCCGAGGAGTCCGAGCAGCGGTGAGGTCTCGGACGGTGGATCAAGCGCGCTCTCGCTGCTGGACATGCCCGACGAGCTGCTGCTTGCGATCTTGGGCTGGCTCGATGTTCCGGACTTGCTGCGGGCTAGCGGAGCGTGTCGTGTCTTGCGACGCATTGCAGCCGACAACACACTGTGGTTCGATCTGTTCAAGTTTTATGTTGCACGCGATGTCGACTCTGCCGACGTGCTTCTCGCTGCCTGCAAAGCCTTCCATACCCAGCGCTCGCATACCTGGCGTGGGCTGTACATCGAGGCCAAGATGAGCGGTAGCGTGGCCCGCCTTCCGGGCTCGGGCGTGGCCAGGGTGACGAGCCGCAGCGAACGTGTGTGGGCGGCTGCGTCTTCGAAGAAGCGTCGAGCAGCGATGGAGGCTGCTGCTGCGCGGGGCGTCTATCGTCGGTATGGTGTTGCGTCTGGGATTCATGAGGAACGCGAGGCTGATGAGCACGGAGATGCAGGGTGAGCGAGCTTGCATGAAGCAGGAAGCCGCATCCGGTGACTCACCGTAGCAGTCGCTGCCACATTAGCGACGCTGAGCGCCTTTCAAAGTTTGCCGTCAGTGCCGGCGAGCCTCGGAGGGCAGTTCGCCGAACTGTCGCCCATGCGGCATGTGATCGCTGCACGACTTTCGGATGGTCGTGTGGCGATGATTGTCATCGCCCAAGCTAGGACTTGCACGTAAAGCTATACAGGAGAGCTTCTTGAAGCCTTTGGGGGGGGAGGGGGGAGGGAGTGCTCGCCTACATGAAAACACGACTTCAATGATCAGGCTGCTGAAACGTTGCACGCATCTAAACCATAAAAATATATAAACACCAAATTATTTTTATATGTTTATTACACACACGTATCACAATTCAAAACATCTTTAAATTTTACAGTATATTTTATACAAAATGAATATATTTGCGAGTTTTATCGCATTTTGTTATGATTGTAGGTGTTTCATCCCGTCTGGGGATAGCGTTCCGGGAACGGTCGCAGAACGCTGGCGCCCAGGACTGTTCCGGGAGCACACTTGCTACAGAGAGCGCTCTGGGGAGCGCGCTAGGAGCGCTATTAGAGCGCAATCCCGAAAACGCGATGTTGCATCCTGCTCAATAGCCTTTCGTCAACCGCCCCCCCCCCCCCCCCCATCGTGCCCGCTATGCAAAGACACAAGACACACTCGCCAACGTGTGGCGGAAGCATTCAATGATGGTCGTCACTCGCCATATTGCTGTCGATGGCCACCGCCGCTCCCATCAGCAGGCACTAGAAGCTGCTCCTCGGCGCGCATCTTGCCGTGCACGATCTTGCCGACCGTGGCCTCAAGCGCGGCAAAGGTGAGGGCAATGACGCCGACAACAACTCCCCCAACCACAAAGGCAGGCATGCCCCACTCCTTGGAGTCCATTCCGAGGAAGCAGTTGACGAGGGCAAGAAGGACGAGGGCGCGGCCAAACCACCAGTGGATGCGATCCGGGAACCACGGAGTAGCCTCACGGTCCGGGCTCCACATCACATTGGCCACCTCACCCAGAATTGGTTCGACAAAGGTGGCGAGAAGGATGATAAGGCCGATGATCTTGTGCACCTTGTGAGCGCCGTCAAAGTCTTCGACCGAGTACCAGACGGCCATGCCAAAGGCGGCACCGGTCGCAGCCACCGCCACCAGATTGAGCGCCATGTGCGCCCGGAACCAGTTGGCACCAAGTGCATCTTTGGCGTAACGCGCAATGAGAATGGCCATGGGGACAAGGACAAACCAAGCAATGAGCATGAGCCACGCGTGCGCGGTGATGACCCGCTCACGGAGATCGTCGCGCGTCACCTCGCCGGTGAAAAAGTTCACCCGGATGTCCGACGTCGAGTGCTCACTCCGCCCATGCTGCGCAAACGGCGATTCCAGCGTCGCATCACCATCGTCGGGCGTCTGTACAGAGTATGCCCATACCACAGCCATCGGTTCGTTCCGCAGCGTCACGTCACCTGGGCCCGACGCGGCTATCGACCGTGAAAACGAGATCGTCAGCCGCCCGTCCACCACGGCGCCCGCCGTTGCCAGCACAGACTGCGTCTGCGATGGCTGCGGCATCTGATGTACTGCAGGATTAAGTCGCTGCGAGACCACAAAGCCGGGGGAATACCGAGCCGAAGCGTAGCCCACAAACGCATGGCCTGGGCCCATCCGCCCGGGCGACGTGGTAAAGCAGAGGCCAACCCATCCGCTCGCATGTGGCGACGATAGGGCAATCGAGACTCGCTCTGCCTCGCTGTCGACCTTGAACTCCATGCTAAACTCGCCGTCAACAAACCGGTGCGCGCCGTCTAGGTTGATGAGTGGACTTGGTGGCGATGGCGGTGCCGGCGGCGGTGCCGGCGGCGGCGGCGTGCATGTTGACACCGCAGAAAAGTCCACCGTCACGTGTCCGTACGCCACATTGTGGAAGAGGTTGCCTGCAGGACCTGCCACCGTCGGATTGGTCCCGCGCTCAAGCGCAAAGCCGAGCGGATTCACTCCACCCCCCACGCCACTCCGTTTGGACCGGGCGTGTCGAGCGGCTTGATCCACGACGCCACCAGCTTGCCGTTCACCCGCTCGACCACCGGAGAGCCCAAATCGGTCTCGTTCGCTGCATTCACAGAGATGACGCCTGATCCCGCCTTGGTCCGGTAGCCCTGCAGCAGAAACGGCTCGTCGCCGTCGGTGACAAACGCAAACGCGTAGTCCCCGCCCTGCATCGACGAGCCCGGCCCCGCCATTCGAGCCAGTCCGATCCATCCCGCGCTCACAGGCGCCTCTATCCGCAGCGCCACAGTCGTCGAGTTGCTCTGCGTCGTCGAGTAGAAGAGTCGAAACTCATTGGCCCCGTTGAGCTCCACGCAGTTGGTCCGCTCGGCAACGACAGCCACCTCTCCGACCACCGCCGTAGCCAGCGCCACCATCAGCGCCATTGCCGCCGCCATCGCCGCAAATGCCGACTTTGAGCCATGCAAGCCACGTGACTCGCGCCGTGCACGAGGACCCTTGCTGCCGCGTGACATGCTCTCGGCTCCACGCGTGCCAGCCACGCAAGCGCCCACAGTCATTCTTAATCAAACCTCCTTGACACCAGCTGCGCCTACTATGAAGGATGCCTCTTTGCTGTAGACTCTGAATGAGGTTGTTGCTTTCCCGGCCGAGTCTTCGCGTTCCGGCGCGAAGTGTTGCTCGCTGTCGTTTGCCTAACGAACTCCTCCCCCATGTCCTGTACCTCTACCTGTAAACCAGTTCAGGTCTCCGAGTCGTTACTTCACGTTATTGGTCTACACACCAAGATCAATGTCAATGTCGATGTCGGCGTCGTCGCCCATCTCGCCGCCATCAAAATCCTCCAGCTCGACGTCCGAGCCGCCGGCAAGGCCCAGGTACGGATTGTTCGGCACCGGGCGGAACTTGTAGCCGGCCACAATGTAGAAGGCGAGGGTGGAGGCGAGGGTGGCAAAATACGAGAGCCAGATGTAGCGGAACGGAACCGTGGCCTCGAGCATGTACACAATGATGCGGGTAAAGTAGATCCAGGCGACAACCAGCATGTAGAACTGGCGGAAGATCTTGAGCTTGCTCGCAGAGCTACGCCCCTTACCGTCAGTGCCAGACGCATCCTGCAGGTGCTTGATGGACCATACAATTGGAAAGAGGATGACGCCGCAGCACACAATGTCAACAATGCGGAGAATGTCGTACCACGTGAGGTACGACTGCGAGCCGGGCTGCATCTCGTCCACCATGATGAGCGCAATATTCGAGATGAGCTGGAGCGGAATGACCACAAGGAAGACCTTCTTGTCACGGTCCGTCAGATACGGCTTGACAAAGGCCCACCCGGTGCCGATGAGCGCAATGAGCGTAAAGAGCATGAGCCCGGTGAGACCCTTGAGAATGTAAAAGACTACGTTCCAGCCAGACCCGTGGCCCGTCGTTTTCATGTAGTGGTACCGGAGTGAGGTCGTGAGCAGCGTGAGCGCCTTGAGCACACCCACCACCGCCATCAGGTAGTGGACCTTGTACACCACCGCACCCGCCCGCCGCATAAACATCACAAGCACACCCACAATCGCAAAGTGTGCAAAAGTGAACAGAACGTAGAGCGTCGGGAGCGGCGACTTGCCCGACGACAAGTAGTTGGGGCCAGGGTTGTACATCACCACGTCCACCGTCAGCGAGACCTGCGTCGCCGGCGCGCAGTTGAACCAGTACAGGTTGTACAGGCCCTCCTCGCCAGGCTGGATGACCCGCTTGTAGTGCACCCCATCAATCCACGTCGTCTCGTTGGCCAGAGACACAATGTCGCGCTCGCGCGCATCCTCAGGCACAATGTCCGCCAGGCACGACGTTCCGTACTCGTCCACGTACTCGGCCGAGTCGCTCTTGGTCTTGCGAATGACAAAGCCCATCGGATGCGTGTGCGACACATACGCCCCCTTCTCCACCCACATCCGCACTCCAGGGTGCACAATGACCTCTAGATGCCCACCGGCCTCGTACCCAAAGTTCTCCACAAAGAACGCCGCCCGCCCGTCCTGCTTCATCGTCAGCCCGTTGCGGAGTGCCGCGCTCTCGGCCACAAGCGCCGTCACCACAAAGAGGCCCACAGCCACCACAAACGTCTTCTGAACCATTTCTACTTGTGTGTGCCTTCTTTCTCCCTGTCTCTCTGTCTTCAGACAAGTGATACCTTTCTCTTCCCCTCCCTTTCCGAGGCAGCCAATGAGCTGGCACTTGCCTCAGTCGCCTCACCAACTCGAGGCATTTCCCGAACCCGCGTTCCACTCGGCTCTTACCCCCCTTCCCCCCTCCGCCCCCCCTCTTTCCCGGGCTACGGCTACCCTCGCATGACCGACAGCATCTTTCTCCGCCCTGACGTCGCTGCCCGCATCGAGGCCTTTGCCTCGCTGCCGCCACACTCACCGCCGCACCTCGACGATGTCATTGACGACACCGGTGCGGTTGTCTGGACTGCGCTCGACGCACTCGCTGCTGCATCTCCAGACTTGCCGCCGTACTTGGTTCTGGCGCTCGCCGCACGACCGGCCGCCGACTTCCTTGCCCATGTGGGCCTTCCGCATGCCGTCGCCGCCCACATCGATCTCCTCTGCCCGGCCATGAGGCCGGCCGCTGCCGCTGCTGCGGATGGCTCTGCGCCTCACATCCACCTGGCGGCCGCGCTCGTCTTTCCCTGCCTCGAGGCCACGCTCGCCGCACTTGCTACCCATCGCGGCGTAGTGAGTCCACCCAACATGCTCAAGGACCTGCTGCTGGTCCCTGAGCTTGCGGATGCCGAGCCAGCCCGATCGCGGTGGCTGAAGAGCCTGCTTGCCTCCAACCGCGGTGTCAATGTCCGCAACTTGGTCTGGCACGGCTTTTGCCCCGAGCCCGAACTCTCGCTGCCACTGCTTGCGCTCTTGCTTGCCGCGCTCGCAGAGGCGTTGGCCATAGCTTCAGCCACGCCTGGCGTGCTCGATGCCCTCGTTTCACAGCCCCTTCCACCTCCTTTGGAATCGGTGGTGGTCGACGACAGCGAGCTGCCGCTTGACTTTGCTGGGCTGCTCTCGAGCCACCTCTCGGCGACGCCTCCCCCTGTCGATGGGCTTCCACATCCGCTCCTCTCGCTCCACGCCATGCTCAGCCATCCGCCGCGCCGGGCGCTCCTTGATCTCGCCTGGTCACTGGGAAGCACCGCGCCGTCGGCGGCGCTTGCCATCCTCCTCCCCGCGCTCGAGCATGCGCTCCGCCTGGCCTTTGCGCTCGCTACAACCGTATACTGCGCCGCATCGCTCAAGGCGGCTCTGTCGCTTGCTTTGCCGCCACCGATGACTACTACACCACCCTCGACTACTTCTTGGATCCGGTTGTGCCCGTTCCCGGCTCGCGCGTCGAGCTCACTCTCTCGCGCCGCCAGAATCGCATTCTCTCGTCCGATCACATGGCCAACCCGCTGGTGAGCGAGTCGCTCATTCCACCACCGGTCTTGGACGCGCTGCACGACATCCTTGTTGTCCGCGCCGGCCCGCGCCTCCGCTCGGTCCTCTCCCACGGCGAGCTTCTCCCGGCAACCCTTGATGCTGCAAAGCCGCAAGCTGCCATGCTGCTCCGTCTCATGTGGCATGCACTCTTTGCCCTTGCGGCTCCAGTCTCCCTTCCGGCTTCGACTTTCCCTTCTTGCATGCCCGGCTATGTGCCGCGGTTCTTTGGTGGACCGCGGCTCGTCGCAGCCGTCGTGAACACCTCCCATGTCTTGCATGGAGCCTTGACCTCGCTCGCCGCCACCCTTTCGGAGGCCCAGGCCGCCGAACTTGTGTCTGAGGATGTGTCGCTCGACCTAAGTCCTACCCTCGCACTTGTTCCTTCTCTGCACTCTGCGCCTGCCGGCTGTCACGCTCTTGCCGCGCGCAGCTACCGGCGCGTGGTCCACGCCCTGCTCCAGGCCCTGGCCTCGGCCGCAGACCTCCTTGCTGAGCTGGCCGCGACTGCCACTCAGCTCTGCACTGCCATCTGTGCTGGAAGAGCTTCGCGCCGCGCGCCGTCGACACTGGACAAGCTTCTCCGAGCGGTCCCAAGCGTGGCCACCGCTGTCGACAGGTCCGTCACCACCGCTGCCGCCATCGCTGCCGCCAGGCCACCACCATCTGCGCCCGCTCCTCCCGCCCGCGCCTGGGGCTCGGCTGCCAAGCCGTGCCAAGCCCTCAACGCGGCGTTTGACAAACTGAGCAAAGCGCTGTCCTCGCGCACCTTCCACCTCGCTCCTGACCTCGTCTCGGCAATCGATGCCGCCTGCGCCCGCCTCGACGCGCTCGTCGACGCTGACGAATGAAACAAGTGCATGTGCTGCTGTAGCCGTGTGGCGGTCGTGGCACCCCGCCACCGGTTGTGGCACTCTGCCCACCCCACCTTTCTGAGAGCCCCCCACATGCAGGTCGCCCCCAAGTGTGTGCCCGGTCCGCTAGCCAAGGGCAACGCCGGGGCCGTGGACATGTCCTGGCAGGGCCTGCTTGCATACGGGTGCCACTCGGCCGTCGTCGTCGTCCACCCCGACTCGCTCGAGGTGGTCCAGTCGCTGGACGCAGTCTCGGACGAGCCCGTCTCGCTTCTCCGCTGGTCGAGTGAGCCGCTGTCAGACTCGTTCGACCAGCCGTACTATCTCAAGCTCGCCGCCGTCGACGCTCTTGGCGCTATCACCGTGTGGAACGTGGCCGACGGCCTGCCCATGGTCCGCTGCCCGCCGGCCCGCCCTCTTGTCGACCTCCTCTGGCTCCCGGCCGGCCACCTGCTCGCCATCGAAACCTCGGGCCGGCTTGTGCTGTACAACACCGAGGCTGGCACCAGGGTTTGGGCCTACGGCCTTCCCGAGCCCATGAACGCCGCTGGTCTCGACCCATTCCACGACACGGTCCTTCTCCTCACCGCCGCCTCGGGCTGGGTCTATTGCGTCACCGACTGGACGCTCGAGCTTCCGCCGGCCTCGGTCGTCCGAAAGTACCGCATTTCTGACGCGGCGCCTGCCCCGGCCGACCCGCTCGACCGCAGTATGTCCGATGTCGAGCCCGGCGCCGTCCCGCAGCCGGCCTCGGGCTCCTCGCGCATCGCCAAGTTCTCGTCGTTCATCAACAGGCTCGGCTCGTCAGGCTCACCGCCGTCGTCGAGCCCGCTCTCGTCGTCTCCACCGCTGGCCGGCGGCGTTGCCAGCCGCAAAGATCCTCACTTGGCCATGCCGGCGCAGCTGGCCATGAACCGCCGGTCGCGGTCGCTGAGTCCGCGGACCGTGGCATCAGCGAGCGCCGCAGCGGCAGCCACCCGCGTAGAGCCGCAAGGGGGCGGCAAGCTTGTCGACGTCGTGTACTCACTCTCCACTCCGTCGATCGTCTACTTTGTGCTCCAGTGGGAGATCCTCCTCTTTGACCTCGTTCTTGAGCAAGCGCTCTGCGCGATCCAACTTGACCGCAAGCGCTACGCTCCGCTCACCCGCATCTATGTCCTTCGCAACGATCCGTCGCTCCTCTACGCGCTTCATGCCGACGGCCTTGTTGTCTGCCGCTCCACTCCTCCAAACGCGTTTGAATACTCGGTTGTCTGGGCCTCGTCGGCGCTGCGCAAGTCGTCCGTCTCTGGCGGTCCGCTTGGCCATGTCTACGGCGCTGCCATGGCACCGCTCTCGCCGCAGCGCATGGCACTGGTCACCTCACTTGGCGCCGTCGCCATCCTCGATCTTATCTCACCACACAACGCCTCGCCCCGCCTTGCCCTCACCGGCACGCACGAAGGGCTGACCCGCAAGCTCTCGGTCCTTGCCGTCGCGCCCGACGGCCTCACTGCCGCGGTCGGCTCGGGCGATGGTCTTGTTCAGCTCGTTCATCTTGGTTCGGGGGAGGTGGAACGGACGTGGGCCGTCTTTGACACAGCGGTCATGGGCCTTGCTTGGGCTTCGTCATCGTGCCTTGTGGCGTACACCCGCGACGGCACCCCGTCGTGGGCTGACCCGACCAAGCTTGTCTCGTCGTCAGGCTCGGCTGAGTTTGCCAACGCCCTTGTTGCGCTCAACATCGCCTCTGGCCGCGCCTTGCCGCTGCGGACGACTGTGACCGGCGATGCGGCGCCGATCACTTCTCTGGCTGTGGCAGCCTCGGGTAAGCTTATTGCTCTTGCTTTTGCCCGTCCGCTCCACGAGACACTAGAGATATGGGACATGAAGAGCGACAGCCTGCTGCGGGCGGTCTCGGGCCACGGCCCCATCCGCGCTCTTGCCTGGTCGCCGCCCAACTACGACGTCTCGCTCACCACGCTCTCGGCTGCCGAGTCGACGCTTCTTGCCCAGGCTGCCAGTAATGCCTTGGTCGAGCAGCTTGTTTTTGCCACCGATGCCCATATCCTCCTTCGTTACACTGTTGTAGCTGGTGCAGTGCATCCCGGCGCATCGATCGCGCTTGATGTTACCGAGCCGGTGACCGCTCTGGCGTGGTCATCCACCCTCATTGTCGCTGGCACTCTGCACGGTTCGGTCCACGTCCTCGACCTTGCCCACAACATGCTTCACGAGTCTGCATCGCTGCATGGCCCGGTCACCTCGCTCGCCTTTGCGCACCCTGCCTCGCCCAACTGGGCCAGGCTGCTGGTTGGCTTTGACGGCGGTGGCTTTGGCGTGTGGGACGCGCTGGCCCGCGTTGCCCTCAACCACTCGTCGCGGACGTCGGGCTTGCGGCTTCTAGCCTCCGCGCTGAGCTGGGCAGGCGAAAACCCGGTTGTGCTCAGCCTCGACGGCATGCTCCGAGTCCTGGATCCGACGCTCTCGCGTGCTTCGGCGCACATGTCCCAGCGCGCTACAACAGCGACCACGCTCTCGCTCATCTCGCCCCTCACCCTCCCACATCACGTTGCACTCTCGCTCAAGGCCCGCCTTCAGCACGGGCTACAGCCGCCGGAGCTCGTCGCGCCGCCGCACATCTCGCTTGTCGAGTGCAACTCTGACCGCATCCGCTCTGCCCGCGACAGCCTCCGTGCCTCCGAGGCTAACCTTCCGGCGCGGCTCCGCGCCGAGCTGCTCGCCGCTTCCGGCCCTGCGCAGCGCGCTCTCGCTGCCGCCTCATTCTTTGGTGATCAGGACGGCGTCGAGTTCTGGACCGTTGTCGAGCACTATGTGCAAAAGGCCAAGCAAGCGCAAAGTGGTGCGGAGCACGCGCCGCGCTCGCAAGAAGCTCCTGCAGCATATGATCTCATCACCTCGAGCGCGAGCCCGCCTCCCAGCCTGCCGCTCGAAGATAGCCGGCACGGCGGATCACTGGCTGCCACTGACTCTGCAAGCGCCCCCTCCTCCGCCAGCAAGGCCAGCGAGTTGCTTCCGCTCTCGGCTCACCACGACTTGCTGCAGGAGCGCGAGGCTGTTGTCGACCGCGACTCACGCCTTCTCGCCATGCACACCCACAAGCGCGGCGACCACGAGTTTACCCTCACTAAGGTCCATGCACACATCCAGCTCGGCGAGTATCCGGCAGCAGTGCGGATGCTCCTTGAGACGCCGGTCGACCACCCGGCCTACATGGTGGACTCGCTCAAGGCCTGCCTGGTCTCGGCTGTCATGTCACCGCACTCGTTTGTGTCAACGGTCAAGCTGGTGGCGACCGACCTTGTCTCAAATGGCCATGTGACTGAAGGCGTTCAGCTGCTTTGCCTCATCGGCAAGCGGGCCGATGCCTGCCGGTACATGCAGTCTTATGGGCTGTGGCGCGAGGCGGCCTGGCTAGCAAAGATCGGGCTTGACGAAGCGGCTGCCGCGGTCGTCTTCTCAGCCTGGGCCGAGCACCTTGCCGACGCCGGCGACGTTGACGCCGCGATCGGTGTTCTTATCTCGCTTATGGACTGGCACTCGGCGCTGCAACTCCTCTACAACCGCAAGGCGTACTCGCGGGCAGCGCTGTTGGCGCGGACGTGCGTCGCCGAGGGCCTCCTCGTCGCAGACGGCGATCCGGCCGCAACTCACCCACGTGGCTCTGCAGGGCGGTCACTCCTCCCGCTGCGGCCGCTGCTGGAGGCGATTTACCTCGAGTACGGTATGTTTCTATATCACATCGGCGCTATGGAGCTCGCAGAGTCGTACCTGCTCCGAGCCGGGCCGACCGGCGAGCACATGCTCGAGTGCTTGGTCCAGTCCATTATCCGCGGGCCCTAGGAGCCACCGCCGGTTGCGTTCTTGGCCAGGAACAGGGCTTGCCGGAGACCGGCGTCACGCGCAAGCTTGGACGTCAGAGTGATGCCGCGCTGAAGCAGGAGCGACGGCTCGGGCGGGTCTGGAATGCCCTCCACAATCAAGGCAAAGAGCTCCGAAAAGGCCTCGTGGACCTCGACGTCGTTGACGGCAGACGTCTCAAAGTACTGCATCGAGAACTTTTGCGCAAACATTTCGGCCTGCGACGCTGTCACCTGCCGCAGCTCGGGCCGCACGTCGACCTTGTTGCCCACCAGAACCTTGGGCAACGCCGTGAACGCGTCCAGCTCGTTAATCCAATCCTCCAGATGCTCAAACGACGACTTGGAGTTGACGTCAAAGACAACCACAGCACCCGACGCACCCGCGCACAGCCGCGACGTTAGCCGCAGATACCGTTCCGCGCCCGGTGCATCCCAGTACTGCACCCGGTACACCGAGCCATCGATGTCGTACGACCGGACCTTGAATGATACTCCGATCGACGCTGACGATGGTGTCTTGAACGGCTCACCTGCCCTCCGCCCGCCCGCCACCCCCGCAGCGTCGCCATCCACCCCCATCACCCCCCCACCATCCGCGCCCCCACCCGCGTGTACGTCCGCATCCGGCATGGTTTGTGTGCAAGCAATGAGTTTGCATTCGCGCCCTTCCTCCCGCTGCTATTCCAGCGCTCTTCACACCGTTGCTCGTCGTCAACCCGCCCCCCCCCCTCTCCCCCTCTCCCCCTCGCCCCGCCTCTCACATACGCGCCGACTCTGTCTGTCTGTTGAGCAGGCTCGTCTTGCCCACGCCGGTATCTCCCACAATGACGATCTTCAGCCCAAAGTCAGCCGCATTGCTTTGCTTCTTGGATGCCGCCATGCGGTCACTCCACGACAAGTGGTCGTAGTCGGGCTGCCGGTGCGGGTGCCAGGCCAATGCCAATCGGAGCAACCCGGCCGAGTGCTGTCTGTCAGGACCGGCACCTGGCACCGCCACCGCCACCGGCACCCCACTCTCGCGCAACACCTTGACTGTGCCCGCCGCCATGCGCCTCGGCATCGACTGGATTGCTGTGGTGGCGGTCGTTGTCGCCGTCGGCTACCTCTACGTCTTGCCAGCCCTCCCGCTTGCTGCTGGCCCCGCGCCGCCGCGCGCCGCTGTGAGCTACGACGACGACGACAGTGGCGCCTATGACGCCGACTGGGTCGACAGCACGCCGCCGCCACCGCCGCCGGGCAAGTGTGAGACAAGGCCGGTCGCGCCCGAGGAGTTGTTGGAGCACGCCACAGCTGACGACCTCTGGCTGGTCTTTGACGGCATGGTAGTCGACGTCACCGACTTTCTCGCCCGCCATCCGGGCGGGCCGAGCATCCTCGCCGCCTACGCCGTCCGCGACGTGGCCGACATTGTGGATGCCGAGTCCTCGTTTGCAGCGCTAGGTCACTCGCCAGGCGCCACTATGATCAAGCGCTCGCTCTGCATCGGCTTCCTTGACACATCACTCTCACCGCCGCGCCCATCGCCGCCGCGACCGGCTCCGCCGCGCCCTCTGTCGCCGCGCCAGCCGGCCGCACCGCCAGCGGCCGCTCGCTGAGCTTTTTTCAAGCCTTTACTTGCGAGAGATGGCAGTGGCAACCTTGCGGAGTGTGGCTTGCTTGCGCATGGTGGCGCGCTCCTTGTAGAAGTCGCCCTTCTTGATGGTGGAATAGATCTGCGACATCGGGCGCGACTTCTTCTTCCGCGCCTCCTTGGCCTTGGCCTTCTTGGATTTGACCGACTTGGACGAGGCCTTCGCCGATGCCCGCGAGCTCTTGCGGGTAGCCTTGGCATCGCCACCGTTGAGTGCCGCCTCGGCCTTGGCCTTGGCCTTCTTGGCCTTGCGGGCCGCCACCGATGCCGAGTGTGCCGCCTTGGCTTCCGCTTTCTTGCGCTTGGCCTCGGCCACAGCCTTGGCTCGCGCGTTGTCGCGGATGGCCTTCTGGTACTGGACTACAAACTCGGAGAACATGCCAAAGAGCTCCTCCGACTTGGTCTTGTTGGCCGGCAAGCCGAGATACTCCACCAGAGCATCGTACGCGAGCAACATGCCCTTGACCGTCTGCGAGATGGTGGTAAACTTGTCGAGCGCCTCCTCGTGGAACGAGCACAGCGCCTCCTGCAACGCGATGTCATCCTGTGACTTGGCGAGGAGCTTGCCAACCGAGGTTATCGACTTGTCGAGCTCGCGCTGTTGCGACTGGATGATGTCGAGCGGGTGGCGCATCGCCGCCTTTGCCGACGCAATCTCGTCCGCAAACGCATGTAGCTCCGGCATGTCGTCCTCGGCTTGCTGCGCAATGTAGTGCAACAGCGTCGTCTTTCCGTCAGTCGACTTGGTGTCGATGAGCCGCAGCAGGTAGTCGACGTTGAATCCAACTGTAGGGCCCTTGAAGCCCTTGACCCCGTTCATAAAGTTGCCGAGGTCGAGGATGAGCGCAAGGAGCCGCTTAAAGCCGCTGGAGAGTTGGACGTCCACAATGGCGGTCCGCACCGCCTGCACGCCAGCCACAAGCTCCTCCATCTGCATGTCAAAGTTGAGCCGGGCAGAAATGGCGTCAAAGCGCTCGCGGATGTGCGGAATGTCCTTGAGGGCGTAGAAAAACTGCTCTGCATTGGAAAGTTTCGGCACCATCTCCGCTGGCACCATCGACAGCGACTCGACCTCCTCTTCCATGATGCAGTACTTGACGAGGCCGGCCACGCGGTCGAGGGTCAGCACTTCGAGGTCGATCTTGAGAATCGCTTCCACAATGGCCGGAACAGGCAGCTTGAACTGCGAGAGCATGATCGACACGTTGTTGTTGCGCTTGGGCGGGAGGACAGAGACTCGCTTGGGCTTCGACGATGACGCGCCCGACGCCACCGCCGACCGCGCAGCCTTGGCCGCAAACATGCCCTCTACCTCGGACGGCGAGAACTTGTTGCGCTCGAGCTTGCCACTCGCGATCTTGGCCTCGCCTCCGGTCCACTTGACCAGCTCTTCCCAGATGGTCTTTGGCAGCTTGCGCTTCTGAATCGGCTTCCAGTGCAGCTTCTTCATCGGCACTGACGCCTTGGGCCCCGCGGGCGCTGCTCCTGGTCCGCGCCCAAGTCCGCCCGGCGGCGGCGGCGGCGGCGGGCCGCCACCGCCACCACCCGGTGGCGGCGGCGGCGGTGGTGGCCCGCCACCCGGTGGCGGCGGCGGTGGCGGTGGGCCACCACCGGGAGGAGGAGGAGGAGGCGGCGGAGCACCCCCTGGCGGCGGTGGCGGCGGGGGAGGAGGAGCACCACCCGGTGGTGGTGGCGGCGGCGGTGGCGGAGCACCACCCGGTGGCGGCGGCGGTGGCGGCGGGGTGGCTGCTGGCGGCGCCACCGCAACGGTAGGCCCGGCCGGCGCAGACGGCTTGGCCGAGCCAGCCGGACTTGACGACGACGGCCCGGCCTCGGCGATGCGAGCAAGGAGCTCAACCTTCTCGCGGGCAAGGGCATCGCGCTCGCGAGTCGCCAGGCTCACATCCTTCTCGAGCCGTGCCACAGCCTTGTTGAGGACCGAGACCTGGGCGCGGAGCTTGGTGGTGGCTGCGGCGGACGCTTCGCGCTCGGCGGCGGTTCGCTTGGCCAACGCGGCAGTCTGCTGCGCATACATAGCGTTGAACGAGGCTGCAGACATTCGGCGGGCGCTGATCTGGGCGGCCACGTTTGCCTCCAGCCGCTGCAACGACTGCGAGACCTCGGCGTTGGAGCCCTGCAGCACGTCAAGACGCTCCTTGAGCTTGGTGTTAGACGCCTCGAGCGCCGCAATAATGCCGTGGAGATTGTCGCGCGCAGCGAGTCGCTCCAGCTGCATCTTGACCGCCATGACATGTGAGATCGACTGCGACTTGGTAAACGCTTTGGCCTCTTCGGGCGAAACCACACACGCGGCCTCGCGGACAACCTGTTCCAACGCGCGCCAGACGTTGCCGGCAAACTCGCCCTCGTGTGGCATGGTGAGGAACATCTGCACAATGTTGCGGAATGGTTCGTAGCACGGCGTCGGTCGGAGGTTGACCTTGAGCAGGTCGACAACCTGTCTGGGATCGTTGAGGTTCACGTCGCCGTACATTGCTTCTTCGCGGTCGTGTCCGCCCAGCTCAAAGAACGCCTCAATCTGCGCCAGCAGCTCCGAGTCGTTGTATGCGTTGCGGAGGAAGCGGAGCCGGTCCGGCAGTCCAAGCTCAATGACGTGGTTGCGGCACGCGTCACGCGCGTCGAGATCGTCAGGCACGCCGATGAGGACGTTGACAAGCGCAAGCGCAGAGGTGAGAAAAACTAGATCGTTCGAGTTCTCGATCTGCTGGATGACCGGGAGAAAGACGTGCGCTGTGGAAAGCTCGGCGACAGACAAACCCGGCGGCTTGCCCATCTCTGCCAGCGCCGTCATAACGTTGGCGTACCCGTTGTCCGAGTGAATGCAGATGCAAGCGAGGAGCTCGGCAGCAATGCGCTGTGACTCGGCCGACTCGTTGGTGAGCCCGCGCGCAATCCGCGCTACATGTGCCAACGACGACGCGGTTGCTTGAAGGCCGTCAACCGAGTCGACCAGCGCGGCGACGGCAGACATGACCGCGTCAACAAGCTCAGGCTCGCCGGCGTGCGACGGCTGCTCCACGAGCGCCATGACATCCCACAGGACCTCAAAACCGTCGAGCGCAAGGAACGAGGCCCGCCACAGGTCGTCGCACTCGTCAAGCACACGCTGCAGCTCGTAGATGAGCGCCGACTCGGGCGCACCGCGCATGCGTTCCAGCCACGACTCGGGCGAGCCAAACTCCTCATCCTCGTCGTATTCTTCGTCGTAGTCGTCGTCAGCCTCCGAGTCGTCGGCCGACGAGACCGAGATGCGTCGCAGCCGCGGCGACGAGACCGGTGACGGCTTGCCTGTGCCAGTGCCAGCGCCCGCAGCCACACTCACGCTTGCGCCTGTCTCTGCGCTGACCTTGATCGTCACCGGTCGCTGACCGCCGTCTTTCACCGTCTTGATGTACGGCGCGATGCAGGCCGAGACGGCCTTGACCGAGTGCGCAATCTGCTCGCGGAGCTCGGAGAAGATCGGGCCATCGCCGGTCTCGGCAATGCGCCCGGTCAGCTCGACCGAGTGTTCCAGTCGCTCGTGGAGGCTCTCAGAGGCCGGACCAAACTTGGCACGGGTCTCGTCGTCGGCCTCAGCCAGGAGCCGCGACGTGAGCTTGGTGATTTCGACGAGCGACGACCGCGCCCGCAGATGTGCGGCCCCGAGCTCCTTGCCCGACACCGCTGCCGCCTTTGGCAGTGCCACGATGTTCTCGGCCAGCCGTCGCACCACCGTTGGCATCATGTTCTTTTTCAGGTCCTCATACTCGCCGGTGGCCACCATGTCGGCCGACGACTCGCGCGTCAGCGTTCCGTCGCCGTCCGACTCGGACTCGCGGTCGTCTTCCGCTGCGAGCGCCGCGGCCCGGGTGCCTGCCGCAGGCTTGGTCCGCAGCGCCGCCGCCATCGGCGGCGAGGCTGCCGCTCGAAACGTCCACCCCAGCGGCACAATGACCGCGTCAGGGGCAAACGGGTCAGGCGCGTCGGCATCTGGCTTGACCAGAACAATCTCAAAGCCATCCTGGATGAGCACATGCTTGTCGCGCTCGAGCCGGATGTCGTTGACAAACGTTCCGTTCGATGATGTGCCATCAGCACATACCGCCCGCCCTCAGCTACTGTCCCTTTGTACTCGAGCACACAGTGCATCGATGAGAGCGCCCGGTTGGTCTTGAACCGGATGTCGGCCTTCTTCCCCCGGCCAAAGGTCAAGCTCGCCTCGTTCAGCTCGATGTTCTCACACGTCGGATACAGCGGTTCGAGCCATCCCCATGCTGCTGCCATGGTGGCGTCACGCGACAAGTTACCGGTCTACGAGTCTCGGTGTATGGGAGGGGAGGGGAGAGGGGAAGAGGGGGAGGGGAACGACGTGGGGAGCGAGGTGGTCGTTGGCCGCCGGCTTCCGTTGCGCTCCCGTCGCAACGTTCGTCAGAGGGAGTCAACGCCAACTGTCAGGCTTCTGGCAATGGGAGAAAAATTACATTGTGTACTCGCGGCTTGAGGTGTGGCCGCAGCAGGAACCGAGGTGCAAGCTGAGTGATGGTGGTCGGCAGGGTTAGGGTGTATGTTATGTGATGATGAGCCATCGAGCCGGGCCGTGCTTGGCATTGCTGGTGCTGGTGCACAACTCGTGACGATGCCGTGACGGCGTACTGCGACGACGGCACATCAGCGCGAGCCAACGCGGCCGACGGCGGACAGGCGATTACGGCGTCAGTTTCCCGGATCGCACAATGCCGATGAGGACCCGAAGCGCGGCGGTAACGCCGCCCCAGGCGACGAGTTTGCGAAAGTGAGTCGTGAGTTCGGCAGTGACTGCAAACGAGGCCTCGGCGTCGAGCTCGACGAGGCCGAGCGAGACCGAGGGGAAGATCTGGATGTTCTGCTCAAGCTTGCCGCGGGTGTCCGAGGCAATCTGCCACAGAAAGGTAAACTCAAATGGCGCGCTGCCGTCGCCCGACGAAGGCGCGGCCACAACCATGGTCGCCGAGTTGGCGGCGCCGTGCGGCAGGACGACCCACTCGCCGTATTCGATCTTGAGAGTGCGAAAGAGCGCAGTGCGGAGCGAGCGGAGCTTGGCAAAGCGCGCAAAGGTCTTGAAGAACGCCCGCAGCGAGCACGTCTCCTCCACGTGGGTCACCAGCCCGCTCAGCTCGCGCGTGAGAAGCTTGTCAACCTCAACCTCGACCCGCTCCACCCGTAGCGCCTCCTCGTTGACGTCAAAATGGAGCGCGAACCCCAAGCCGTGCGACGTCCCCTGAAGCTCGTACCGTCGCAGCCGCAGCCCGTTGCGCTCAGCATCGGGCTCGAGCAGGCTGTTGTGTGTCCTGTCAAAGTGGACGCCTGCGACTGACGCGAGCTCGGCTACGTGCTCGGGCGTGACCTGGACACGCGGCCCACTCCCGCCCTCATCGCCGTCGTCGTCATCGTCATCGTCGCCAGCGTCCTCGCCCAACGCGCGGAGCGGGTCCAGCTTGCCCTTGACCACCGACCGCGAACCGGGGCCGCCTGTCGCCTTGGCCAGCACCATTCTGCGCAGCGCCTCATCGTCGATGACAGCATCCTGCCCAGGGACACCCTCACCACCACCACCACCTCCCGCTGCAGCTGCAGCTTCAGCCTCGGCCACTTGCGCTTCCAGTGCTGCCACCTTGCTCCGCAACGTCTCGATGGTCGCTTGGTACCGTTCGCGCGCGGCCGCGCCACGGCCAGCGCCGACATCGTCTGTCCTCAGCCCGCCCTCGAGCGCGCCAGCAGCCTACACAATGCCATTTCCTCTCACGTATGAGTGAAGAGCGTGGTGAGTGTGGCGGGGAGAGAGGGAGAGGAAGGAATGGCTTTGGCATGGCTCCGTACCTCTTGGCTGCGAGTGGCCTTGAGCTTCTGCGCCAGCTCGGCGGCCTGCTGTGACGCCATGCCGGATGAATGTTGGCTCTGTGTATGTGTGTGGTTGTGGTGAGGTTGTGGCGTGGTGGTATGTGGTGTGTGTGTGTGTGGTGTGGGGTGTGGGGCGAGTCAAGTGGTGTGTGTGTGTGTGTTGTGTGTGTGCGTGAGTGTGGCTGGCGAGGGAGCGCCAAGCCTTGGAATCTACTACGCTCGGCTGCTCGCTGCTACCCGTGCTATCCGGCTGAGGGCGAGGGTGTTTGCTTTCACAGCTATCATTTGGAACTCTGCGGATACTGCGGCCTTAGAGCAAGCAGAGCTCGCACCAGCAGCAGAGCTTGCAGAATCTTGAGCTGGGGAAGGTGCAGGGCGACAAGCGATGGGCTTGTGCATGACGTGCCAGGCCGGATCCTCGTGGATCTGCAGATGCTCGTTCCAGGTCGGTGCCGCGCCCTCAACCTCGGTGTTGGGCTGGTACTTGAGGGCGGTGTAAAAGGCGAGGGCGTCAACGTTGGCGGTAAAGACAGTGAGCAGGACGTTGGGGACCGAGAGCATGGCAGCAGCCAACTCCATGACTTGCATCAGTCGGCGGCCGAGTCCGGCCCGGCGGGCGTCGGGCGCAAGCTGGATCTCGTAGACGTAGAGCGCCACGCCGAGCGGCTTCTCAATGGTGTACATAAACTCGGCGTAGCCAAGCCGTTCGCCCGAGCCAACGTCGGTGGCAATGACGTACTTCATCCCCTCGGCCGTCATCTCGCTGAGCTTCTGGTCGTCGTCCCAGCCCCAGCCCGACTCTACATACATGGCCTCCATGTTGGCTTTGAGCAGGCCAAACGCCCATCCGACCTCATCGCTGTCCATCTCGCTCACATCGTGGAACGTGAGCTCGATCTCGCGCCCATCTGGTGTCTGGTACTTGCGGAATGCCGGCATCAGGGCAAAGATGTCTTCCGCGGCCGCCGCCCGCCGCACAGCCGCCGTCCATTGCGCCGTCTGCGCCACCTCGGCCTTCCGCGCAAGCTTCTTGGCCTTGGCCTTACTGTTGTTCTTCTTCCGCCGGCCCATGCTTCCGTTCGTTAGATACTCAAGTCTGGCCTCTCTTCTCTCTCCTCCCTCCGGCACGCTGTCGCCATCCCTGGCCCTCACCCGCTGTGCCCAAGCTGGCCCTGGATCGGATCGTAGCCTCTCGCCGCGTGCCGGCCTCTTCCCCCCCCCCCCCCTCTCCACCCCGTTCTCCGCCTCCCTATTTACAAGTACTCGCCTTTCTATAATCTCTTTATTCTCTGTACCATCCCGATCCTCCCTTTTGCTCCCATCCCTCACTCTTACGGCCCCCCGATGGCGATGGCGATGACGATGGCGATAGCGATCGTGATCACCCCCCATCTCCTCTGCACCCTGTGCCACCGCCACCCCACTCCAAGCCTCCTCCCCACGGTCCACTCCGCATGTCAACATGGTTTTCCGGTCCAGAGTGTTCGTGGGCAAGATGCTATCCCAGCTGCTCCTGGTCTACCACTACCTCCCGGTCTTTGCCTTTGTCGTCGTCCTCGCCTTCAAGACCGTCCTCGAGTTTACCTTCAACATCTTGATGTCATCACGAAGCGAAGGCGCGATGTGGGTCGTCCCACTCCAGGTAGTCTTCATGGTCCAGGTCATCCTCGGCCTTGTCCTCGCTCTCCGGGTCTTTCTCAATCTGCTCTTTGATCTGCTACCCTCGGTCGAGCCCTTTCCGCGCCTCCGCTGCCTCATGTCCGACGTCGTCTCCATCGTGCGGCTCGGCACGGTCCTCTCTGACAACGACCGCCGTGCCATCTTTGCCTCGCCACGCGCCCTGCTCCGTATCCTCCATCTCGATCCGCACCGCCGGCTAGTCGGGTCGGTCCACGACGGCTCGCCCGAGCCTGACGCCGAGTACCGTCTGTTCAAGCCTGCGCTCCTCCGTGAGGCCTCGCCCGGCGACGCCGGCGTCGCTGCCGCCTCCACTGCGGTGGACTCGCCACGCTTTGAAGTTCTTCGCCTTCGCAACGCCTCCCGCGCGTCATGTTCATCGCCACCTGCACCGTGGGAGGCCTCTTCAGATGGTGACGAGAGCGACGGCGACGTCCACCTGGGCCACCCGCGGCTTCAGCCGTACTCTCGTGCCGTTGCTGATGACGGCTCTGATGCCACGCTGGCCGACGCGGGCTCATCGCCGTCGCGCCTCTCGCAGGCCATCGATGCCACACGCGACCGGCTCATTGCGCCCATCACCTTTGTTTGCTCGGTTCCGATCGTCCTGCTCCTTGTCATCCTCATCAACACCGTCATTGCCTACTCGCACGCCTCGTGCTACAAGTGTCCGCTGCACGTCCGTCTCTGCACCGCATGCACTGGCCACAAGTGCTCGGTCCGGTGCGAAATCTACTTCAACACCTTTGCCGTCTGCGGTCTTCTCCTCGCACACTTTGCCGTCTTTGTCGCTGCCATCGCTTCCCGCCCGGTCAAGCTCGCGGCGGCTGTGGTGCACGGCTCGGAATCGGCCTCCCCGCGCGACTCATCGCCGGAGCTTGACGCCTCGGACGACGAGCTGTGGGCCTTTGACGGCGGGCGCGGCCCGCAGCTCTCGCTCTCGATGCTCGATGAGATCATCTCGTCCGACGCCAACTGGGCCGCCGTCACCTCGGACGTCACTTACGGCTCGATGGTTCTCTCCTCGCTCTTTCTCCCCATCTACGCGCTCTTTTCCAACCAGGGATTTATTGGCGGTCTCGGCTCGTACCTGGTCATCTCGTCTGGGCACTCGTTCTTCTACGCCATGGTCTGGTTTTTCCTCCATCAGGGCGTCTTTCTCTTCAAGGGTCTCAAGATGTTGCTTGCCGGACCGTATGCCTTTCGCGCCGTCAAGCTCGCGGCTGCTGTTGCTCTTGTCGGCATTGTCTACAAGCTTTTCCGCTCGTGGCTCGCCGTCGTCATTGTCGCCTTTTCCATTAACTCGATCTCCAACATGGTGTGGAAGCTGACCCATCCGCCCAAGGTCGCCTCGCAGGCCCCGCGCCGCCGCCTCCGTCGCCGCATCATCTGGTGGCTCTCTGGCATCATCCTCGTTGTCATGACCGTCATGGTTGTGGGCACCGTCCAGTCGTTTGTGTGGGACGAGTCCTCGTTCCCTGACCACTTTACTATCGGCGGCGCTCCGCTGTCACCGGCCGCTGCTCCCCTCCCGCCAGCTAGCGCGCCGTCGACCAATGGCCTCTCGGTCAAGTTTTCGGTGGACGGCGATGATGTTCAGGCGTGGGCCAATCTGTGGCCGCTCGGCCGACCGTGGAAATCCTCGCCTCCGGCTCGCAGTGACGGATACGCCTTTTGCTCCTACCAGCTTCACGGCCTCACACTATCCGACTACTCGCTCCTCTCGCTTCTCTCATACCTCCCGCCGGGCACGCCGTCGTTCGACCTCTATCTCCACTCGCTCCTTGACGACTTTCTGCTGGTCAACGTCTCGCGCCCGGCTCCGGCCATGTCGGACTTGCAGGCTCCGGCCCACCACTCACGGGTTCGCTTCTACGAGCTGTACTCGCCGTCGCGTAACCTGACAGTCATCTCGATCCGCGGCACTGGCCTCTTTGACATTCTCGACTGGGTCCAGGATCTGGACCTCTGGATCGAAACGGCCACGCTGCAGTTTTTCTCGGTTGTCTTTCCCGGCCTCTCCATTTGGCCGACCGACCTCATCGCCGCCATTGTCGAGATGGCCGCTACTGTGGAGCACTTGCTGCCAGACTCGGAACGGCGATACCACGACGTTGTCATTGCCCACGTCCAGCGCCTCCTCCGCAAGTCCAAGGTTGTCGTCGTTGGCCACTCGCTCGGTGGCGGCATCGCCAAGATTGTCGGCTCGTCGGTCGGGACACACGCCGTCGCCTTTTCCGCCCCGGGCATTGTCCTCGCCCGCAAGCGGCTCGGCATCCCGCTCCGTGACATCTCGCGCTACGTCGTCAACGTGGTGCCCATGCATGATCTTGCTGGCGGCCTCGGCCCGAAGGCTGGACTCGTCGCCAATCTCGAGTGTACCCAGAAGCGGCCGGACATGTGCCATATGCCCATGGTTGCCGTCTGCGAGCTCATCTCTCGCTGCCCCAATCCGCGCCTCCCTCGCCTCTCGTGTGCGTTCCACTCGCGCCCGCTCCTCCGCTCGTTCCTCGACTTTCTGCAGCGCATGCGAGATTAATCTTTACCTGTTACCTTAGTTTGCCGCGTCCTCAGAAGAAGGCAATTGCATTGTCGCCATCGTCGCCGCCGCTCGCCCCGCCTGTGGTCGCATCGTAAAGCTCGGCAAGCAGCGTCCGCACCACGGGGTCGGTCGAGCTCACCCGGACCACCGGGCTCGCCCCTACCCGTGTCCGAAACTTGGCCGCACCGCTACCGCGGGACGTCCTGGTCGCCATCGCCTGGTGCAGGTCCTGGCTCGGTGGTCCGTGTCTACCACTCGCTGCCTCGACCTCCTCGCACAACTGGATCGTGCCGCACAAGTTGCATCGTCTTGGCACAAGCCTCGGCCGCGGACTGGCTCTGGGCTGGAGTGGCGGACAGGAGCTCGCTGACGGCCGGCTGCCGGCGTGGTCGGCAGTACGGGTGGAAGCCTGGGACAAGCATGCTCCGCCGTGGGGGTGGAAGGAGTAGGCGGCGCGTTCACCGTTTCTTGCGCGGCATCCGCCTGCCTCTCCACGGGCTCATCCCGTCGTCGTGGCAGCGGTGACACAACCCTGAAGTGGTTGAGCGGAGACGGCGGGGATGGCCGTCGATGACACAGGCCCATCCTCGGCATTACCGTTGGCGACGCCGCTAGCCGCCGCAGCGCACACACCGCTTTGGCATGCGCCTCACCAGAGGCACATCCAAGGCACCGGTTGGTGTTGGAGAAGCCTTAGGTTCGTGTGAGTGGTGTGCCTCATCCTCGCATGTCTTGTGTCGTGGAGAGGAAGGGGGGCTGCAATTGCCAAAAAAATCTGCCACCGCCAGTAGCCCCATCTTTTCCCGGCCCCAACTGGCGGCCTTGCACTCCCTGCACCACCCTCAAACCGGTTTCGGGGCGTGCCTCTCATGCTAACGTAAACGTCTACAAGTTGCACACGTCAAGGGCTGCTCTGATGCTCTCTCTAGGTGTCCATCTTCGAGAGACGTAGCCGCAAGAGGTTCGGACTCGCTGCGTAACCGATGACTCTTGCGCGGCAGGAAAAGGGCTTGCGTCGATTTCTACCACACAGCACCACAGGCAACCACAAACGCACTCTGTCGGAAACAACCATAGCCGGGTGCACTGGCTACGTTGGTAGGAGGAAGGGCAGATGTCACTAGTATGATGTTAAGGGATTCGGGGGGACCTACCGGTAATGAGGCGGAGTTCCGCATCGCACATGGCTAGTCTCGCACAGAGAAGGCTTGATCGCCGCCACTGCACGCGCGCGTGTGCGGGCGATAGCACAAGAGTGGCAAAAGTGCGGATCGGGAAGCAGTGGTGTGCGGCCGAGAGCCATCCAACGCCTTGGCAGTCAGCAAGCCAGCTCTATCGATCCAAGAGCTTTGTGCCACTGGCAGAGGTGGGGGCACGTCAGAGCGAAGACGCACCGGATGATGACGACGTGGACGAGGCCTCGGCCTCGGCAGCAGCGGCAGCAGCGGCGGCAACGGTGGCGGCCGGCGCAGAAGACGAGGTGGCAATGCGTGAGTTGGCCAGCTTGGCCGTGTTGTTCCAGCGGAAGGTAGTGAGGCGGGTCTCCAGCTCGGCCGACTCGTCGGCGTATGCTGAAAGCTGATTAAGGAGCTTTGCAGCGGTGTCGACAGCCTCGTCCTCGAGACCTTGGTAGCCGCGGTTGGCAAGCTGCGACCGGAGGATGACACCGAGCGACTCCAGCTCTGCGGCAATGACACGACGGGCCTCGATAACCTCGTCGGTCCGCTTGCGAGACTCGAGGTAGAGCACCTTTTTGGCGATCTCGCGCTCAAGGCGCTTGAGGCGTGGGTCGTTGACTAGCTTGCGCATGGCGACTTTGAGGCGGGGCGAGGCCGGCATGAGCCAGTGCTCGTCGAGCCCGCCCTGGACGGCGTACAGCCGCTGCTGGGCCTGAGCATCGTCGCGGCGGAGTGCCTGTTCGAGCGCGGCGTCGAGCTCGTCCGAGCGGCGCGGGTTGCCGCTCTCGGCCTCCTCGGCAAGAGCCTCGGCCTCGAGAGCGGCCTTTTCTTCGGTGAGAAGCGCGTTCTGGTAATAGTGCTGCGCCACATCAGTGTGGGACAACACGCCGCGAGCGACGTAGTCCTCAAGCTCATGGGAAGCTTGCAGAAAGACGGCCGAGATGAGTTCACGGCGCGGGACGTGGGTCCGGCGCGACTCGGCCATGTACTTGAGCAGAGCCCAGAAGCGGAGGAACTTCTTGAAGCCCTCGCGCATGTCCTTGGACCCGCGCTCGTCGGCCGCCTCGCGGAGCATGTCGTCCATCTCGATTTCGAGCGAGAACGTTGAGTCGCGGACCATCGAGCGGAGGACAGACTTCCATGGGCGGCCACGGAGAACGGCCGAGAGAAAGTGCTCGATGTCTTTGAGGTTGCCGCCGAGTGTGGCAACAACGCGCGCAATGGTAGCCTCGGAGAGTGTCGGCAGGCCAACCCGCTTGAGCTCGGCGTTGACCTGGAACCGAAAGTACGCCTTGGTCATGCCGTCTGACATGAGCGCCATGTACACTTGCTCGCGGCGGAACCGGAGGGCGAGGTGGCGGTCCATGGCTGTGATGAGGCCCGGCCGCGTGACAAAGACCACATGCGCGAGCTTGGCATCGGTCACATACACGCACCAGTCGACAAACTTGCGAAAGGCAGCGGCGCGCGCGAGGTCGGCCTCGGACGCGCCCGGTCGCGGCACCGGCACATCGTGCATTTGGTCGAGGCAAAAGACCGGAAACGGAACGCCCATCGGACCATCAACCACGTTGCCCATGGCGTTGCGCAGCGAGCGCTGCTGCTGAAGGACCATGGTGGTGTACGCGAGCGCCTTTTCGGCGTCATGCTCGGTAATCTGCTGGCGGAGGATGCCAAGCGCCACAAGCTCGATCGGGGGGTAATAGTAGCCGCAAGCGCGGACAAACCGGGTAAGAAAGTCAGTCGAGCCGCCGACAGGATCCTGGTACAGATTGATGTACATGGTCCACGGCCGGTCGTTGAGAACCTCGCGGACCATGGCCGACTTGCCCGAGCCGGACGCACCGGTCACCACAACCGGCCCTGAAGGCTCCTGCCGCAGGATCGAGCGCAGGAGGCCCTTTTCACGGACTCGCCGCATGTGCAGGCCGCGCCAGTCGCGCTCGAGCGTGTCGCGCGCGGCCGCAGACAGCTCCTCTTCCTCATCATCGACTCGCCCACTCTCAGCACCGGTGCCGCTGGCGTCAACTCCAGCAGCGGTGGCGGTCGCCGATGCGTTCTTCATCGGCCGCGCCTTCCACCAGTCTTCGAGCTTGACGATCCACGACCGCCGCGGGCCGTCGCCGTCAAACGCGCGCTCGGCAAGCCGGAGATGTGACCGCAGCTCCTTAGGCTCGCGAAACGCAACTCGGATGGCGCGCACCTGCTGCCATTGCATGCGCCGGAAGAAAAACAGCGCAGAGGTGAGACCCACAAGGCCACCCGCGATCTTGAGCACCAGCGCAATGTCCTTTAGCAGCCCGGTGACCAGCGAGGCGTCGGCTGCTGGGGCCGACGGCGCTTGTGCCGCGCCTCGCCTGCCGCTGCGACGTTCATCATCGTATCCCATAGGGTCCGACATGCTCACCCGCTCATATGGCTCCCGAATAGAGTGCGCCCAAGCCCGCGCCCGTGCCTGCCCGCCAAGGCTCGACCAGACCGTGCCGCTTGCGAGGCGTGCGCGCGCAAAGCCAGCCACGGCAGGTGAAGGCTGTGAGGCGTTCATGCCGAGGGGAGGGGAGGGGAGGGGAGAGGAGATGGATGTGTGGTGTGGGACGGGTGGTGTGGTTGGACTGTCCGGTTGGCGGGTTGGGTTGGGCTGGTGTGGGTGGGTGTGGGTGGGTGGCGAGTGTGGGCGGGTTGGCGGGCGGCTGGTGTGGATAGACGGACCGCCGTTCGGCTGTTCAGCTGTTCCACCCGACTTCGCGCTGCAGGCGCAGAGCGGGAGCCAACGGGAATAGTGTGAGACAGGTCGCAGAAGGTTCGAGGAGACACCAACATAGGACTGGCTCTTGCGCACAGTCCGAGTAGAGTATACAGACTGAGTAGAACGCACAGAGTAGCGCGGTCGCGGTCGCGTGGACGTGGCGAAACAAGGGCTTATGGTGAGTTTTGGTCGTCGCAAGGCGGCTCGGGCTGGCAGGTCGGAGAGTAGCAGCAGCTCGGGGGCGGCTACAGGGGTGGGGAAGTGGTCATCGTCAGAGGGTGAGTATCGGACGGATCGGGTTCCGTTTGATGCGTATCCGAACCTCAACTCGGACTCGTCGTCGTCACCCGGCTCGTACCGGACGGATCGGGTTCCGTTTGACGAGTATCCGCATCTCGATTCGGACGCACCGTCGTCCGAGGGCTCGTATCGGACTGACCGCGTTGACTTTTCCCGAAGGCTCCCACGTTGGCAGCGTGACTACGCATCGTCAGACGAGACTCCGTACGAGCCATCTGACTACTACGCCGCGTTGCCAGAGGCAGAGTCTGCCTCGTCGTCGTGCGGCTCGTATCGGACGGATCGGGTTGATTTTGACTCGCGTCGCTCGGACGACCGCCCGGAGCCGAGTACGTCAGGCTCGGGTTCGGGCTCGGATTCGGGCTCGGGCTCGGGCTCGGGCTCGGGCATCGAGCTTGCCTCGTCGTCGTGCGGTTCGTATCGAACTGACCGGGTTGACTTTGATGCATACGGCGAGGGGCGGCTCGACTCGTCAGTATCGTTTGGCTCGTACCGTACCGACATGGTTGACTTTGACAAGTTTGCCATTGACCGCGAGCTGAGCTCGTCGTCGGGCGGCTTTTCTGAGTACCGGACGGACCGAGTCGACTTTGATGCTCCGGGCGAGGCCAGCACTGGCGCTGGCTCCTCGGGCTCAACCTCGAGCTGGTCCGAGTACAAGACTGACCGTGTCGGGTTTGACAGACGCGGCTCGGACTCTGGCTCGAGCTCGGACCCAGGCTCGAGAGGCTACGCCTGCAACGACTCGCTCTCGACGTCCGACTTTGCGACGACGACGGTGCGTGAGCGTGCGGTGAGGCGGCGGCGGCGGGCGCAGGCGGTCCAGAGGGCGGATCGCAGGCGAGCCCTAGCTGCAGCGTCGTCGTCTTCGGCGTCGCCGAGCGCAGTACGGATCCGGAGTGCCGACCTTGCCGCACGGGCAGCCTGTTTTCAGACTCGAACGCATCGTCGGCGTCTGGCGGAGCAAAGTCCAACTCGTTCGAGACGCGGTACGTCGTTCACAACCTCGACTCGGAGCTCAATGAGTACTCGATGTACGAGTATGACGAGGCCGCTGGGCTACCCACAATTGCGTCATCAAAGCGGATGCTTGTCACTCGCAGCCGGCAGAACAAGGGCAAGGCACGATCGCGGTTGGCCACCGCACGCCGCATCCACCACTCGCGCATGGGCGAACTCTACAAGCAGGTGGAGAGCCTGGCGGCACGGATGGACTCGCTGCGTCAAAGGATCAACCGCAACTCGGTCGGCTTTTACGAGACCATGCTCGATGCGTCATCGGCGCGGCAAGCGCGGCTTGCGCAGCAGCTGCAGGAGCTCGAGGCCCAGCTCGACGACGCGTCGTCGAGCAGCTGAGAGCAGAATGGCACGAGCGTGTCGTTGTGATGGGGCGTTTACAGCTCGTCGTGGTCATCAGCCGCAGCGGCAGGCGCGGAAAGATCGATCTTGCCCTCGGCAACCGAGCGGTGGAAGGCGTCGATGGCCGCCTGCTCCTCGGGCGTCTTGGGCTTGTCAAACTGCGACATGTCGAAGCCGCCGGCGCCACCAGCCTGCGAACGCTGGAAGGCGGCAATGGCCTCGGCCTCGGGCGAGCCGGGCGGGTGCGAGCCGGCGCCGGCACCACCCATGCCTGCCAGCGCGCCACCAAGGCCGCCCAAGCCCGCGCCGGCGCCGCCGCCGCCGAGCGACGAGAGCTCCGAGCCGGAGAGGCCAGCCGCGCCCTTGTCGGAGAGCGAGGACATGACGAACCACTGGAAGAAGCGCTGGTTAAAGTGCTCACGAATCTCTGTGGCATTGCGGACGTCGTTGTCGACGGTGTACGCAGCAGACTCGCGGAGCTTGGTCGTCAGCTCGAGCTTAAAGATCGGGTCGTAGTACTTTTTGAGGATGGCCTCCTTGCGGAAGTTGAGGAAGCGGTTGACCGAGCCGAGGGTATGGTCGGCGACCATGCCGACAAGCTGGGAGAAGACGTTGCAGAGGAACGGCCGCTTGCGCTTCTCCTTGCAGTACTGCAGACAGACCTCCTCGGCGTCGTCGGCAATCTGCCACGAAAAGTCCTCAATGTCCATAAAGTCGTCGTCGTCCTCGCTCACCTTGGCCGCCGCCCCTTCGCCCTTCTTCCCCGCCGCCGGCCAGGCCAGCGCCACCACGACCAGCGCCACCAACGCCACCACCAGCCACTCGCGTGTCCTTCCCATGTTTTCTGTTTCTTTGTACTGTGACCGAGATGAGTGACTTTATCTCCGAGAAGCATTCCCCCCTTCTTCCCTCTTCATGAACTTGCTGCGACGGTGAGGTCAGCGAGCGAGCGCCGCCACATGCCTCGCCGCCGACGTTTAGCCCGTTACGGTACGGAATCGGTCAGGTAAGACATTTGGCGGCCCCTTCGGCCATGCATGATCGCTCCATCTGCACAGCGCTCGCCATAGGCCTTCTGCCTGTGGATGCGTAAACATCAATTGCCGAAGCGCATTTCCCCAAGCTTGATCGCCGGGTGCCTGTGGATGCGTAAACACGGCGTACCGGAGCGCAATCGCCCATGCTTGATCGTCCTCTGCTGGAGGACACCGCCTCATCGCTGTCCCAAGCGCCCCCCCCCCCCCCCCCCCCCCCCCCTTGCCCCGCACACCTGCGGACCAACGGACCTTCGGCACATCTCGACCGACTCCTGCATCAGCCAATCAGCCAGCATCACCTGTCGTTGCACCCAGCCCAGTCAGGCATCATGCGTGTGGGTATGATAGTTGTGCTCCTTGGCATGGTGGTGGCTGTGGCTGGTCTCGTCGCTTTGCTTTGTGGTGGGCTGGTCAAGGATACGGCAGGACAGCTGCGGTATGGTGTCATGCTCGACGCCGGCTCGTCGGGCACCCGGGTCTACGTCTACACCTGGTATGCTAACCCGCCCGAGGATCGGACTTATCCGGAGGTGAACGCGCACCCAGTCTTTCTCAAGATCAAGCCAGGCCTCTCCGAGTTTGGCGGTGCGTCGGCAGCCGAGGTGCGGGCGTATCTGCGGCCACTGCTCGAGTTTGCCGACAGCCAGGTGCCGGACTCGAAGCAGTACCTCACGCCAATCTTTCTCCGTGCCACTGCTGGCCTCCGCCTGCTGCCACAAGTGCAGCAGGACTTTCTGATGCGCGAGGTGATTGCCTCGTTCAAGGCGCTCACCGACTTTTCCATCGTCCCGGGCATCCGCGCCGCCCGGGTCATCGAGGGCACCCACGAGGGCGCGTACATGTACGTGGCCGTCAACCAGGCGCTCGGCAACCTCCGCCGGACTGTGCCGATCAACGCTACCGTTGGCATTCTCGACTGTGGTGGAGCTTCGACTCAGATTGCCTTTGCCCCGCGGAATCTCTCGCCGTCCGACATTCCCAGCGCCTACACCGCCCCGTACACGCCGGGTGTGTACACCACCTCGTATCTGCTGTACGGCAAGAACCAGGCCCGGTACCGAATGTACAACGTGCTCAAGACCTTGCCTGATGCCGGAGTGCCGGGCATACCTAACGCGTACTACGATCCATGCGAGCCGCTCGGCGCCAACCATACCTCGGCCGCGGCAGGCATCACGCTGTTTGGCTCGTCAAACGCCACCCTCTGCGAGATGCTTGCAGTGCAGCTCCTCAACGCTTCCGACTCGTGTCCGTACACTAGCTGCGGCATGCAAGGTCAGTATCAGCCGGATCTCGCCCGCCACGGCCCGGAAACCGGCATCTTCTACGCCACTGACAACTACGCGGCTGGCGCTCGTGCTGTCGGCTTCGCGCTCAACACGACCCACACACCCGAGGCGTACCGCGCGGCAACCCGTGCGTTTTGCGCGCTGGATGCATCGGCCCAGGCGGCCGCGCTTCCGCCAGCTTACGACGAGGACCACCCGTGCTTCATTGCCATGTGGACCTCGGCACTCCTCCTCGAAGGCTACAACTTCGCGCCGTCTGCCCCGATCGCATTTGTGCAAGAGGTCAACAACTACGACATGTCGTGGACGCTCGGCGCCATCTTGTACGAGGCCCGAATCTTTGAGTATCCGGCGCTCAAACCGCGGCTGCAGCTGAAGACAGGCTCGGCTTACACGGCCGTCATGCTCGTCTTTGGGGCGCTCCTGCTCGCGGGCATTGCCCTTGTCGCTGTGCCGCTGCTTGTACGCGCCCGCCGGCGCCGTCCGTCCGACTACACCGAGTTTTGAGGCAGCTTGGCCTCCAGTTGATCACGGCGCGACACAGTTCCAGATTTTCAGCCCACCGCTGACATCGCCAGTAGCCACAACCGGCGAGCGGACGTTGAACGCCATCGCTCCCACAAACACGCTGTGCGCCTTGGTGTATGTCTTGACACACTTGCCGCTCGCCAGCGACCAGACCCTGACCGACTTGTCATCGCCACATGAGAGGAGGAACTCACCGCACGGGTGGAACGCGAGGTCGCGGACCCAGCCGTCGTGGCCGGCAAACGAAGCGACCAGCGCGCCGGCCGCGGCGTCGTAGACGTGGATCATCGCGTCGCGCCCGCCCGACGCCACATACTGTGCCGCAGCCACAGTAGGTTCATCAGCATCAACGCCCTGAAGCTTGGCGAGGTGCACGCTCGCAGTGGCCGGCGCAAACGCCACAACCTCAACCACGTGACTGTGGTGCGAGAGCACCGCCCGTGGGGCGCTGTCGTCTGCACCCCAAACGCACACCGTGTTGTCGGCGCCAGCCGAGGCGTACACCTCGCCGTTGGGCGCGACACTGACGCTACGCACCCACTCCGAGTGCCCGCTAAGAATCTTGACGCAGAACCCGGTGTCGAGCGTCCACACCCTCACCGTCGTGTCGCGAGACGCCGAGACTAGGTGCGAGGCATCGGGAGTGAATGCCACGTCCCACACATCGGCCTCGTGCCCCGTCAGCGACTTGAGCCGCTTTCGCGACTCCCACTGCCACACTCGGATGGACGAGACCGAGGCCGATGCCAGCAAGCTGCCGCTCGCATCAACCGCGACCGCCGACACCGCGCCCGACTCGCGGAGCGGCTTGCCCAGCGACTCGCCGGTCTCATAGTCGGTGAACCGCACCGTCGAGTCGTAGCCGCCGGTGACCAGCACGGGCTCGGTCGGGTGAAAAACGAGCGACGAGATCTCGTCGCGGTGCGCACGCATCTCGTACGTGGCCGTCGCCGCCGGGAGGAACCCAGCCTCGGCGGCGGGCTTGCGGATCGGACCCAGCGCCAGCAACGCCTTGGCCTCATCCAACTCTGCCTGTAGCATCCGGATCTTCTTGCTCAGCTTGAGCAACGAGGTCCACTTGCGCTCCAGTGACGCCGAGTACTTGGATCTCTTATCGTAGTCAACGCCGGCAGCCTCGACAAAGGCTTCGCCTACCCCCGGATACCCCGTATGGTACAGATACTCTGCCACAGCCACATTCCTGCCCATCCCCGACACCCCGCATCACCCACACCCAACCACTCCATCCTTGTATCAGTCATTCTGGCATCACACGCACACTTGGCACCCTCCAAGCCCGTCCACTGTCCAGTCTCCCGCACCACCCCCACCCCGCCTTCGCCCCCCCCCCCCCCTCCATATCCATATACCCTTCACCCCCCCCTCCCCCTCCTCCCCACCACCTACAGTCGCATCTTCTGCTTGTCCGACAGCGTCATGATCTGCCTCTAAACTGTCCCCAAGAGAGACAAGTGCTTCCCTATCCCTACCCCAAGCCTTGCCCCCACGCGGCCGGCCCGCCCCATTGCCCCCGTGCCCGTCCCCCGTGCTCCGTGACCCGTGCCTGCGGCCAAGGCGCTCCCCCCTCTCCCCCCCCCTCCCCCTCCCCCCTCCACCTCTCTCCACCCCCCCCCCCCCCCTCCCCTCTCTCCCCTCTTCAGCCTCACCTTCCTCATGTCGTCGTCCTCGCTGCTGGCCGCCGGCCTGCCGCTGTGGGACGCCTCGCTGCCTGTCGCCCCGTCGGCAGCAGAGACCGTGTCGGCCTTCTCCATCCCGCCGCCAGAGGCCACTCCCTTTGCTGTTGGCTCGTATGTCGGCGCAGTGGCCAAGGGCGGCTCGTGCAACTGTGATGTGGTTACTGTCTGCTTTCATGGCGCTGGTACACACACAGAGTGCATCGGCCACATCACCACCTGTGGCGCCACCGTCGACGCCGTCGCACGCGATCTGGCCGCGCCGGTCGTGTGCGCCACAGGTCTGGCCCTCTTGCTCACGCCTGAGATCACCGTCTTGGACGAGGCAACTGCCGCGGCTCTGGCTTCAAGCGACGACCCGGACATGTGCTACCCGAACGCGGCGGTAGGCGACCGGGTCGTATCTCGCGCCGCCCTCGACTCGGCGTTTGCATCGCATGCAGCCGCGCTCGCCGCCTGGGCCGACGCCAATGTCCCGCTGGCTGCACTTTGCATCCGCACAATGGCGCCTGAAGTTAGCCGCCAGGCCGCGGCCGCCATGGCCTACTCGGGCACCAATCCGGTGTATCTGCTGCCCGAGGCCGCCGCATGGGTTGCCAGCCTCGGCGTCAACCACTTGGTCATCGACCTGCCGTCGATGGATCGTGAGGATGACGGCGGCGGCCTCCGCGCCCATCGCGCGTTCTGGGGTGTCGATGTGGAGTTTAACGGGCCCGCAGACGCTGCAACCCGCTGCCGCGCGACCATTACCGAGATGGCCTACTTTGGTACCGAGCTCACCGACAGAGTCTACGGGCTCTCGTTGGGCATTGCACCCGTTACTCTGGACGCTGCCCCGTCGCGTCCGATCTTCTTCGACCTTCCGTCGCCGCCAAGCGCTTAAGCGACTTTCAAGGCGCATGCGTCACGGGTGCGGCATCGACGACGCCGCGCCGTCGCCAGAGATGGCGTCTGATCCGTGGCGCGCGTCACCCAGGCCGTCGTTGTCATCGTGCCCATGGCCTCCGCCCCCACTCTCATCGCCGTGCATGCACTCTTCCCCATGCACGTGTGCCCCCTCCTCGGCATGCTTCCGCCGTGCAGCCTCGATGGCCTTCTTCCGCCGCATCCGAATCTTCCTCATCCGCGTCTCGTAGTCGTCCGACATGTCTGACGATGCCGATTCAGACGATGACTCTCCAAACGCCCGTGGCTTGTGATACACACAGCAGACTGCCCCATCCCCCGCCTTAATGTGAGTCACTCTGCTCGACGTCGCCCACACCCCGACTTCTTCCCCTGCCTGACCACGTACTCTTCGAACTCTTCTTGTTGAGATGCTCGTTATCGACAACATCCGGCGCCCACTGGACTCTCCGCGAGGGAACTGCCGCCTCCGGCTCTGCATCATCTGCCGCCAGTTGAAGAACGAGCTCATTGGCTCTCTCTGTCGTCGTTGCCGCCGTTGTCATCGTCGTCGTCATCGCTGTCCGCGTCGACTGCATCACCACCGCTTGCTATTCCCCAGAACGCGTAAGCACAGAAAAGAGATAGAGCGAGGGGCAAAGAGTATGCGTATATCCGTGTGTATGCGCGCACCTGTGTGTGTGTGTGTGTGTATGTGTGTGTGTGTGTGTGGGTGCTTGTGTGCTTGTGTGCTTGTGCTTGTGCTCGAGACAAGAATGTCCACGTCCCCGATGAGGTGTCCCCACCTCCTGTCGCTCACATCCGCTCTGTCTGGGTTACTCCCGAGTGAGGCAGACCGAGGGATCCTCTCGCCTCGCCTTGCCTTGCCTCGACCAGGCCTGTGACTTGCCTCGACTGGCCTCGCCTGGTTTGCCTTGGACTATCTCTCATCACACATGGGCAACATCTCCTCCCTTCAACATCTGCATCCGCATCCACTGAACTCGTGCCTACACCTACCCGATCAACCATAGCTTGGCCTCATCATCGCTCTTCCCCCACGCCGCACCCTGGCCGAAGCCGGTCACAGTCACGCGCACAGCCGAGACGCGCACAACCACCTTACCTACCCGTGCCCACCCACACTCCACCCCCCCTCCTCATACCAATCCACCTCGCCATGCTGGTATGTAGTCCCTTACCCCCCTCTGCCACCATCTCTAACCACACCACACACGCCATACTCACCACCTTGCTCCCCCGCCACAGTCTCTCTTTACTGGACAGCACGTCGAGGTGGCGGTGGCGCTGGACGATGCAGTCACTCCGCGGAGGTGCGTGCCTCTGGCGCTAGACGGACAAGGTAAGCTGCTGCGAAGAGGAATGATGTTGTGTGTATGTGTGTATGTGTGTGTGGTGCAGGGATGGCTCACCGTATGTGCGCGTGGGTGGTGGGTGTAGACGAGCCCGTGCTGCTGCCGGTGGTGGTGAGCGGAGAGGCCATGTCTGGGGCGGTGACGGTGGACACGGCAAGGCCGATGGAGCACAACGGCATTGTCGTCGAGTTGGTGGGTGACATGGCCCTGTTCTACGACCGTGATTCGAGGTCGCAGTTTGTCCACGAGGCGTACGCGTTGGCTGATCCGGGGGAGCTGGCTGCGGGCGTGGCGCTGTTCCCGTTTGATTTCGGCGTCCCGCACTGCCCGCTCGAGTCGTACGCAGGCGCCAACGTGCGGGTCCGGTACGTGATCCGTGTCACGATTGTGCGGTCGCTTATGCAGTCTGTCGTCCACGAGCAGGAGCTCTGGGTTCACGTCTACAACAAGCCGCCGGCCATCAACAACTCGATCAAGATGGAGGTCGGCATCGAGGAGTCACTGCACATTGAGTTTGAGTACTCCTCGTCCAAGTATCATCTGCGCGACGTCATTGTTGGCAAGGTCTTCTTTCTCCTGGTCCGCGTGCCCATCAAGTTCATGGAGCTGGCCCTGACCCGGTCCGAGTCTACCGGCCTGCCGCAGGCTCAAGCGTACACCGACACACAAACGCTGGCCAAGTTTGAAATCATGGACGGCGCACCCGTCCATGGCGAGAGCGTTCCAGTCCGCTTCTTCCTCGGTGGCTTTCCGCTCACGCCGACCTACCACGAGGGCATCAAGATCTTCTCGGTCCGGTACTACCTCAACCTCGTTCTCGTCGATGCCACCGATCGCCGCTACTACAAGCAGCAGGAGATTGTGCTCTGGCGGCGCGATCCGCGCAGAATCACCCGGACCCGGACTCGCCGCACCCGCGTCCGCCTCCGTCCTGGCTCGCCCCCCTCCTCCCCGCCGCCGCCGTCTGAATCGGCGTCGAGCGGCAGGGCATAAACCGCCAAGCCCGGCCCGGCATGCCTGTTGGACCTGAGCCGCACGCACCGCACGGCGAGCTTCCCGGTGACGAGTGGCACCACCTCATCTCTCTTTGCGGTTGCCATGGCACTCATACACATTGCTCTTAGTCTGGTCGCCCTCCTCACCCTGGTGCTAGTCATGCCTGCGGCAGCGGCCGAGAAAGAGGCGCCGACGGTGCCGGGAGCCATGGCACTGATGACGGAAGACGCCGTCGACGCTTGCCGCTGCCTCCTCACCCGTGCCCTCGGCGTGCACGCCTTCCACCTCTCCAAGGCTGCCGACTCTGATGTCGAAGCCGATGCCGGTCGTCGAGCCGTGGTGGGCAAGAGCGCGCGGGCGGCGCTGCTGACGCCTGCGCTCTGCCGCATCGGCTCGCAAGACAACCACGTCTATCCGCTGTGCGAGCCGCTGCTCGCCCGCTACGGCGCTGCGCTGCGGGCCTGGCTCGACGACGCCGCTGAGGCGCTGGCCTACAGCCCGCACGATGCTGCTGCTGCTGAGGCTGAAGCCCGCGCTGCCTGTGTATCCATAATCGGCGACGGCATTCCGATCTCGCACGCCGTCTCGCATGCTGCGGCTCGAGCCGCCGCACGCCGCCCTTCGGCGCTGGCGGGCTCGGCGTTCGTGGCCGATGCCGCGAGCGCAACGCCTGAGAGCCTCGCAGCCGCTGTTCGGCGGCACGCAGAGAGCTACGAGAACCATGTCCGTGCCCGGATCCAGGAGACGCATGCGGCGAACAATGCGCGGAACTACGGCTCGCAGGCTCGAGGCGATATGGCCCAGGCCTCGCAGCAGATGGGGCATGAGAGCTTTGATGCTGCTGATGTCGAGAAAGCTATGGCACGGCTAGCGGCAGCACGTGCAGCGTTGGCGGCAGTGCACCGTGATCATGACGAGCTCTGACACGAACGACTGGCTTTACCTCTGCACCTGTTCCGCTACACGAGCTCTTCGCCGAGAATGTCGTTGAGTGTCGAGTATAGCTGGGCGTCGTCGTCGACGGTGGCCAAGGCGTCGGTAGCCGAGTTGCTGATAGTAAAGGCCAGCAGGTCGTCGAGATCGGCGACAGTGCCCTCGCCCATGACGCCTGTTAGCAGTTCGAGCTCCTCGAGCGAGTTGACCGAGTCGCGGACCGCGGGGAGAGCCGAGCCGGCGGCTCTGGGCTGTCGACAGTCAACGAAGCGCGCTTGGAGAGGCTTTCCAGCTGCAGCTCGACGTCAGCGTCGGCATCAGCAAAGTCAAGGTCGAGATCGTCCATGCCAAAGTCGGCGAGCATGGTGTCAAATTCGTCGGCTGTGGTCGGCTCGCGCGGGGCCAGCGCGTCGGCGTTGGCGGCAACCACGGGCTCGAGCTTGTCGCACAACTCGCGAACAATAAGTGAGGCTGGGCGGCGGTCGGCGGCAATCATCATGCTCAGTCGGCGGTCGCGAATGACCGAGACCGGCAGAATGGCGGCGAGCTCCTCGACAGTCTCGATGTCGAGACTCTCGTCGCATTCACGGGCGAGCTGGTGGTAGAGCTCGTCGACAAGCGTCGGCTGCTGCGGCGGGTCAGCCTGCCCGGCCTCGTTGGCGGGCTTGCGCGGCGAGAGGATGGCGTCGAGGGCAGCGTCGACCTCGGCCTCGGTCGCTGCAGCTGCATCGGCTTTCTCCTGCGCAGTTGGACCGCTGCCACTGAGGTCGAGTCCGAGATCCGGTCCCATGATGGCGTCAAGGGCGGCGCCGACCTCGGCCTCGGTCTTGGCAGCCTCCATCACTTCCTCTAGGTCTGAGTCGGAGCCCGAGTCTGTGACAAGCGGTGGCTCTGAGCCAAACTCGAACGAGCCGCTACTGGCTCTGTTGGAGTGCTCAACCACGGGATCGGGCACGGGATCCGGCGAGGGCTCGCTGGCGGCAGCCTCTGCGCCGCGCCCATCAACAGTGACGGGCGGCGCAGCCGGAGCCATGTCAAATGTGCTGTCGTACTCGGCGCCGTCGTGGAGGATGGAGAACAGGGTCTCAAACTTGATGCCACGGGCCTTGCGGCCACGAAGCGGCAAAAGTGGCGGCTCGGACTCAGCCTCAGCCGGCGGAGGCGACTCGCCAAACGAGCTCGGGCGCGACTCGGAGCCCGGATCTGGGATCTTCAGTTGCGAGACGTCGCCGAGGAGCTCGGCGTACTCGGACTCGGTGTGGTTGCTGGATGACGGCGGACGCGAGGCCATCGGCGACGGCGGTGGCTCGTCGATGCCGAGCTCGGCAATGAGGCCGTCGATTTTCGAGGTCGAGACCTTGCGTGGACGAAGGCCTACTTGGTCGCAACTCTCACTCGATGATGCTTGGTCGCCACCTGCCGCGCCGGGAAGGGCCAGGAAGCTCGCGGCAGGCTTGGAGGCAGCAGGGCGAGCCGGCGCAGCGGGGCTGACCTCTTGGGCGACGGGCTGGAGCTGGACGGTGGGCGAGATGCGGTTGACTAGAAAGTTGGTGAGTCGAAGAAGCGCCGGCGCGTCCCACGAGGCCGAGAGCTTGGCCAGGATCTTGAGGGCGGTGGAGCGCTGACCGGCAAGGATGCCGCAGGCGCGATCGACTTCGGTCATACGGACCAGAGTGGCGAGAGCGTACTGCTGAAGAGCAAGCGAGGGGCGGGCGAGGGCGCGGATGAGCGAGGTGGCATAGCCGCCGTCGCAGAGGAACTTTGCGACCCGCGGTTGGCGGGCCATGCAGGCGAGGACCTTGGCGGCCTGCTCCTGCTCGCGACCGCTTGTGGTGAGCGAGTCGGCGACGATGCAGGCGTGGCGCTCTGTGGAGAACCAGTCAAAGGGCTCATCGTCTGCGCCTTCGATGAGTTTGTCGATGAGGCTGAGGAGGGCAGCCCGGAGCGAGGCGCCGACGGCAAAGGTGCCTGCGGCGGCAAAGCCGGCGGCCCAAGCCGAGGGCAGGTCGCGGGTGCCACGGAGGACGGCAAGACCGATGGGGGTGGAAGCGAGGTGCGAGAGGAGGACGACGGTGATGGCAACCACAGGCAGAGGAGCAGGCGATGTGGTGGTACCGAGCTGTCGGGTGAGCCAGGCAGCGAGCCGCGGCGAGTGGAATCGCTCCGGCGTGGCCCGGACCCGGACCTCCAGCTGGCGCATGCCCGAGACCTTGCTCTCCATGTCGGGCGCCGTCATGACCATGCGGAGGATACCCGAGAGCGACGCGTCCATGGCTGCTGTTGTGCAGGGAGCGGAAAAAAGTGGTGGAGCGGTGGAAAGGTGTGAAGGTGTGTGAAGGTGAGGTATGTGTGTGTGTGTGTGTGTGTGTGTGCGGGGGGTGCGGGTGGGTGGAGGGGGCATGAGTGTGTCGTGTCTGTCTCGGCGCTCGGCGCACGCCCCTACCGGTTTCGGCGATGGCTATGAAGGAGGCAGACGATGGTTCGGGGAGGAGGAAAAGTTGCTTCGCATGGTTGCCCGCTTGGTTGTTTGACATGTGTTTAGACGTTGGTGTCCATGGTGAGCGGAGTGGAAAAGGTCGGAGCCTTGGCCATGGAGACCGGGGCCGGGCCGGCGGCGATCTCATAGCCCTCAAAGGGAGCGGCAGACATGTCCGCCGAGGGGCCGGGGCCAGATCCGTCGCGGCGCTTGTTGAAGAGGGCGCGACGGATGTCTTCGGTGAGGTACTCGTGTTGCTGAATGTGCAGGAGCTGGCGGAGGAGCTCAAGCTGGAAGTCCTGCAGATCGCTGCGGTAGCGCTCGGCAAAGGTGAGGAGGGCACGGTGCCAGACCAGCGGCATCTCCTGGTCGACGTCACGGAAGGTAACGAAGAACTGGACGAGGGCGTCGACTACACGGAGCGGGAGGGCGTACTTTTGTCGACCAGGGTGTGGAGCATGATGGTGACCGGACCCGAGTAGGGAAGCTCCATCATGCGCAGCATGGCGGCGGCCGAATGAAGCATGGGGATGCGGGACTTCTTGACGACCGAGGCGACAATGAGGGCCTCGCGGACGGAGCAGCCCTCTTCCAGCAGCGGAAGGAGAAAGCCCTTGTAGAAGGCGGCAGGCTTGTAGAGCGCCTTCCGGAGTGCCTGGTACAGGTGGAAGTTGAGCTTGCGATGCTCCGAGATGTCCTCGCGGACGCAGGGGAGGAGGACAAGGTTGAAGAACCGCTGAGCCATCTTGGCGTTGAGGTTCGAGGCAAAGACCTTGACGGCTTGGTACATGGCGTGCTTGGACCACTCGGACGGGTTGGTGATGAACACAATGTCCTCCCAGTTCTCGAGCGCAGGGATGATCTTGAACGCCTTGGGCAGCTTGCCCGAGCGGTAGTCCTTGAGCACACGCCCGACAATGCGGTAGGCCTTGACTACCTTTTTCGGCAGCGAGGCCCCAAGGCGCTCACCGACGTCCACGGCCGAGCCGCCGAGCGTGATGGCGCCCTCGCGCTCGCGCAGCCGCGCCTCGATGATGTCGGCCAAGTTGCGGGCCGGGGTGGCGCGGGCGCCGGACGACCCGGCAGTAAACATCGAGAGCAGCCGCTCGTCAGCTGGCGAGAGCTTGTCCACGTCGTTGAGGTAGTTGTCTTCGTCCTCGGAGAAGACCGAGTCCTCGCCGTCCGACTCGTAGGCAAACATCTTGGGCTCGGGCAAGGGATCTTCCGGGAACTCGATCGCCGCCGACGAGCCGCGCTGCATCTGCTCCATCTCCTCCTCCCGCCGCTGGTCCTCAGCCTGCTTCATGATTCGCTTTGCCAGCGCCTCTTCCACATACGACTCGTTCTGTTCCTCCCCCACACATGCTCTCATGTGAGTCGACGCCGGTCAGCCCGCCTCTCCTACTTCCCCCCCCCCATCCAGGCCAATCCTCCCATCCCGCCACCCCGCGGCAACCCCGACCCGTCCAGAGGCATGCGAACGAGCATGGCATGCACCATGTCCTTAGGGATGTAGAGGGGGGATTCTAACCTACGTACCGTTTCGTTGGCCGCCTCCTTCTTGCGAATGCGGCGCTTGCGGCGCTTGCGTGTGGCCTTGGCGTCGCCAGTTCCTCCGCCCGTCGCCGCCGCCTCTTCGTCGTCCACAAGGATCTCGTCCTTGCGCAGCTGGGTAGCCAGCGGGTCGTGCCGGGCCTTCTCGCCCGCACGGTTGGCACGATTACGCGGCATGACGGCTTTGAGTGTCGGGCACGGCGTTGAGTGTGAGGGTGGGCGGAGGCCGGTGGCTGGCCGGTTGGCGTGCTGGCTGGGCCACAGGCAGGATGGAAGGCTGAGGCCCACTTGCTCAGTCGGCCCCCGCCACTCCGCCCCGCCACCACAGACTGGCTGCCGACAAGTCGGACTGACGGGAGAAGAGTGCGATCAGGATGATGTAGGGGTAGAGGTAAGGGAGGGAGGGGGGGGGGGGGGGGGGTGGTGGAAAGGACGGACGGATGGACGGACGGACGGATGGATGGATGGATGGAGGTATGGGTGTGTGGGTGGGTGGCTGTGGTGCTCGGAGATGGCCAGGGGCGGCAGTGGCGGTGGCGCCATGCGGCCGGTGGTGGTTGGTGACTGCTGGTGAGGCGAGGTAACTTGTCTTGTGGCTAGAGGCAGAGTGAAGGAAGGTACAGGTACAGGAAGAGTGTACATGTGGAGGAATACAGCAGTGGTGGCTTTGGTGGCTTTGGTGGCTCTGGTGGCTCTGGTGGCTCTGGTGGACGGCGCGGGCGAGGTGGGCGAGGTCGACGAGGCGGTGGCGGTCGTCAAGGGAATTGTTCATATGGTCGTCGATGTCGGCGTGTGGGGTGACGACAACGCACTGGTGGCCCAAGCGGTGGCAGTGGTGGAGAAGCAGTTGCGAGGGGCAGGATATGCGATGCGGGCACCGGTCGTGGCACCGTCTGACTCGCTGCTGGGAGTGCTGGCTGGCGTAGCCGATCGCGCAGCTGCCGAGCCGTTCCCGCCCGGCCCTCCGCTGGTGGACGACTGCGGCGACGAGCCGTGGCTTGCCGAAGCTCGATCTATGTCTGGTGCCTCCCGCTACCATCATGTGGTGGCGGTGGCAGGGCTTGACGCGGGCCACAGTGTGGCGGCGGCCGGATCGGAGGCGGTGGAGGTAGTTGCCGGCGCCCTGGCGGCGTCGGGCACCTCGCTTACGCTTGTGGTGGTGAGCGAGAGGGGAAGCTTGGTTGGGTTTGGCAATCCCGAGGCCGACAGTGTGTACAATGATCTGACACACTTGTCGCTCGGCGCCACGCTTGCGCAGGTGGTTGCCGCTCGCGAGCCGGACGAGCCGCTGTCGCTGCAGGAAGCATGCCTTGCTCGCGGAGTGTGGACCCGGACTCTCTCTCTGCGCACGCTGTGTGCGCTCGACGCCGAGCTGGACTCTGCCGCAAGTGCTGCTGAGCAGAGGACATCGACACAGGCCACAAGCAATGTGCTAGACGCGTACGGAATCGACGCCTCGCTGTGGGACGACGACGACGATGACGACGAGGACGACGCCGAGAACGCCGAGGCAGAGGGCGGCGGAGCCGGTGCCGGCGGCCGCGACTCGACGGCGGCTCTGCGCTTCACGTCGCTCGAGCTTCCTGCCCCGCCTGGCAGGATGGACCAGGTCCTGGTCCCGCCGCCGGATGTGACGAAGCTGCCGTGCCTAGGGCACATGGTCGAGGCTCATTACCCGGCAGGGTTTGGGGCCAACGCAACGGAGCATCCGCAGTGGGACGACGTGCACCCGACGCTCACGCGTGAGGCGTTTGCATCTGAGCTTGCCAGCCGGCGCGGCGGGCCGAGCCGGCTCCGTCCGCTCCTCCTCACCTCGGCGCGGGCGCACTCGTACGGCAAGGACGAACACTCGGCGCGGCGGAGTGTGCCGGTCCTACAGTGGCATCCGGACGAGCCGTTTGCGGCCGAGTTTGTCCGCGGCTCGCATCCGGTCATCCTGCGCGGGACAGTGGCTGCACGGTGGGCAGGTGTGCGCAAGTGGAACGCAGAGTATCTCGGCGGGCGCGAGGACGCCCGGCCGATGCGCCAAGTCAAGATTCACCGCGGCGCAGCCTGCAACGACGTCGCCGACGGCAGCGGCGACTTTAAGTTCTACGACGTCGACTTGAAGCAGTCGATGGCGCAACTGCGCACGCTCAATCTGCTGACCGAGTACGAGGCTGTCAACTACACAGGGACGGACGGGGCGAGCCGGTTCTGGAGCGATGTCTTTGACCCGCCGGGTAACCAGCAGCTGCAACACTTTGCGGAAATGGATCCGCAGCTTGTTGACGACGTCCAACCGAACGAGCTGGTCTTCCGAACGAGGGCCGACGCCGCGCGGTTCATGCAGTACTTTTGGATCGGGTCGCACAGGACGGCGACGCATCTCCACTACGACATGGACTACAACTACTACGCGCAAGTGACGGGGAACAAGACCTTTTTCATGTTTCCTGACTACAGCCACAGTAGCATGCATCCGTATCCACGGATCCACCCGTTGTGGCACAAGTCGCAGGTAGACTTTGACGCACCGGATCTGGCCACGTTTCCAGACTTTGCACCAAACACGGTGGTGTACGAGGCCAAGCTTCAGGCCGGCGACGTGCTTTTTGTGCCGCCGTACTGGTGGCACCACGTTGTCTCGCACGCACAGTCGGTCTCGCTGGCGTCGTTCTCGCGAATGACTGAGACGTATGAGGTGATGAACCGGGTGTACGGGCTGCGGCTACCGATCGACGATGCACGGGCCAAGGCCAAGCCTGGCGTGCGAGCGCGTGTGGCGGTGGCACTTGTGCGGTCGCTCGTCGAGGCTGTGGTGGGTCCGGGGCGTGCGGGTCCGTGGGCGCGGGCGCTGGTGGCGTCGCGATACCACGCGTTTGCGCCCGACTTTTGGGCGGCCGGCGGATCGGCGGCGCCGACCGCAGAGCTGTGCGGCGAGAGCGAGTTGCTGCCGCGGTGGGCGGAGGCAGATATCGAGTCTGTGGCGAGCGAGGTAGCGACGCTGGTGTGGCACCTCGATCCTGTGCCGCGCGACGTGCTGTTTGGCGAGTTTGTGGAGGAGGTTGTGGCGTCCGCGGTTCATGTGGCGCACGTGAGCGCGTTCTTCTCGCGGTGCGTGGCGCGTTGACCGCTGCCGGCTCGGGGCTGAGCACGTAGCGAGAGCGTCGCGTGTTACTTAGGTGCTGCGTCAACAGGGCAGCTTACTTAGCGGGAGATGGGAGGAGTAGAGGTCGATTAGGCCTCGGCGTCCATGGCGGCCTTCATCCGGGTAAAGACAGCGCGCATGGCGTCATGGACCTCGGGAATGTCGGGGTAGATGGCGGTGAGCTTGGAGGTGTCAAGGGTGTTGTTGGAGCGCTTGCAGGCGAGAATGGAGTTGCACTCGTCGACGGTAAAGTTCTTGTAGGTGAAGGTCGGGTCGACGATCTCGGCGTAGAGGTCAAGGACCTCGTTGTGGGAGATAGCGCCCGGGTTGGTAAAGTTGAAGACGCCGGCGAGACCCTTCTCGATCATGTCGATGGAGACCGGGAGTAGGTCGTGCAGGATAGTCATCGAGTTGGGCACGTTGACGACCTTCTCGTACTTTGAGATCTTGGTGACAAACGACCGCGGGTGGAGATCGTCCGAGATGGGCATGCGGAGGCGAAGAACAAGGACGTTCTCGTACAGGCGCAGGTACTTTTCGACAACAGCCTTGGTCTCTGAGTAGAACGAGCCGTCAAAGTTGGGCTCGTCGTCCTCGGTAAAGCCCGACGAGCCGATGGGGTGGGCGTCGTCGTAGTAGTAGATGCACCCGGTGGCAAACATGGCACAGGGGATGGAGCGCTCGCGGGTGAGGTCAGCAAGGAGCAGTGTGCCTGCGACATTGACCCGGAGCACATCATGCTTGTGCGACTCGCACCAGTCCACGTTCGGCCGGCCGGTCAGCCCGGCAGCGTTGAGCACATACTTGGGCTGCACAGCATCGAGCTCGGCCGCCACCGCCTCACGGTTCTCCAGCCGCGACTCGGCAGCATGGACCGACTTGCCCTGCTCCTTCAGCAGCTCAATGAGCTTGCCACCAATCCACCCGGTCTTCCCAAACACCATGTAGTCGGCTTGAGTTGTCTCCGCCTGCACGTTCTCCGCCATAGCCCGTGGTGAGTCCAACTCTCAGCCCCCCCTCCACCGCCTTGGTGCTGTGGCCGTGTGCAGAGAGTGCGGTAGCGATCCCTCGCTCCGCCCCCCCCCCCCCCCCCCCGCCCCCGCCCTCGACCCCAACAACAAACAAAGCCGCCAATTGTGGCCCCCCCTTTCCCTAGCACGCCATTGCTGTCATTGCCATCATCGTCTTCTGTTGAATGCCTACCATGATATATGTCTGTTGTCAAGTGGTGGTGTTGACCCTCTGCCCAGGCCCCTCCCCCCCCCTCCCCCCCCACGCCCCTTCCACCGAGAGGGTGTGACGCGACCTGGCGAACGACAGTCGAGGGAATTTCCCCACCGAGTGACAATGCCCAATTCGCGGGTGGGCAGAGAGTCAGACAATGCGGGTCGGGCAGGTAATGGCATAGGTTTGGCGGTATCAATGACATGGCCATGACCAGGCCGTGGTTGCACCTGAGCGGGGCCTGTGGTGTGTGATTGTGTGTGTGATGGCATGGCTCCTTTGATCGCTGTTGGTGGTGAGTGGGTGGCGGAGATGGCGCTGTTGGGAGGCAGCTGGTGGCGGCGGCGGCGGGCCGAATTGGCCGAATGAGCTTCTTCGCCAGCGCGCGCCCAACCACCGACGACCACGGCGACAGCCCGCGAGACTAACTGACTAACTTACCGCCTTTGACCTCTGTCTGTGGTGTGTGTCACTTGACTCGGTTCTGCACCAGCCACCCACACATTCAGAGTGCTGTAGACATGGCTGACAACTGGGGCTCGTGGGAGACCGGGGCGGGCTGGGTGACGCCCAGCCAGTCGGCAACACCTGCTGCTGCTGCAGCTGCGCCGCCGGCGAGCGACGGGTGGACGACTCCTGCTGCAGCGGTGCCGGCTACCGTACAAAGATCGGGTGCGCCGACTGCAGTGGGTGCGGCAGCTGAATGGGGCGCGGCTGAAGGAGGCTGGTCGACGGCGACGCCTGTGGCATCAGCGACAACGACGGCGACGGGGGGAACGCCGGCGATGGGCGGGTGGCAAGCAACGACGACTGAGGCACCCGTGCCGACGAGCCAGAGCCAGGACGCTGGGTGGGGGATGGCCACACCAACGGCGGCGGCTCGCCCGTCGGCCGAGCCCAAGAGTCGGGCCCCGAGCCTGCCCGAACCGGCGGTGGCGGCCGAGCCGGCGGCGGCCGAGCCGGCGGCGACGATCGATGTCGCCGGCTTCCAAGCCCTTGCCGCGGCGGCACGGCCTCAGACCCGGACGCGCGCCGTGCGCGAGGTGGTGCGTGCGATGCGTGCGCTGGCCAAGGGCGGAAAGAGAGCGCTCGCTGCGCCGAACAAGGTTCTGGAGCTTAGGCTAGCGGTCGGCGCGCTGCCGCCGAGCTCGACGCGGAGCGAGCTGGTGGCTGCGGTCGAGGTGCTGGATGTGGCTGCGGTTCGTGCGTTTGCGGCAGCCGAGTCTGAGGACGAGGGCTTGGAGCTGCCTGTGGCGGCATGCGAGCGTGTAGCTGCACTTGTGGCTGCACTGTGAGAGGTTTAGAGTCTGGCCTCGCTCGGCGCGTCCGGCTTGGGCGGAATTGGAGGCGCGCCGGTGGGCAGCGAGGCAGGAGCTGCAGGGGAAGGAGGAGGCGCGGCGGCAAAGTAGCCGCGGCGGCCGGACGTGGGGGTCGGCGGCATGCCGACGCCTGAAGCGCCCGTCGAGCCTGTGGACGAGTCCGAGTTGTACCGGTGGTGGCGCTGCGGAGAGCGGAGCTTGGGGGTGGTCGGCGTGGCGAGCGGCGAGGGCGTGGTGAGCGAGCCGGTGGACGATATCAGTTCGCCCGAGACGTTGACCGAGAGGTTCTTGCCCTTGCGCTTGGAAAAAGTGGCCATGTTGTGCGCCAGATCGTCGTCAGTCGACGAGAGTGTAGCGATGGAGCCCGTCGAGTTGAGCCGGATGGGGACAGGCGGGCGGGAAGCGGCGGCAGAAGACGAGGCGCCGACACCCTTACCTGGCGAGCTGAGGTCGACCGAGCCGTCATCGACGGGCGAGGAGGCGACGGCGACGGCGGCGGCGACAACGTCGTCAAGCTCGCCAGAGTAGAGCTGCTGGATCCGGTCGGCGCCGACAACCCGCACCGGCCCACCGTCCGAGTTGATGGAGCCAAAGTCCAAGGCCGGCCCAAAGCCGTCGCCGCGGCCGTACATGATGTCTTCGACGGTGACCTGGAGCGAGGCGTGGAGTTTGGCGCGGCGGGCGTCGTCGGCGGCGGCGTCGGCTTGCTTCTTCAGCCGGGCCTCGCGCTGGAACGCGTCCTCGGAGCAACAAAGCCGCTTGAGCCGCGACGCAAGAAGGCCGAGACCAAAGCAGACCCCGGTGGCGAGCGCAATGGCAATGAACAGCTCGCGGTAGTTGAAGCCAGGGCAGTGCTTGGGAAGAAGAGTGATGTCGTTACCGGGGCAGGTGATCGACGCCGACGGCGAGGCAAAAGTGCACGTGTCGTCGCCCTTGCACCACACGCATCCCGCGTCGACGCACGACTTGCATGTCCCGTAGTACGGGCATGCCGTGGGAACTTGCTGTACAAGCGAGACCCGGCCGACGGAGAAGCCGTCGGGCGCAAATGGTGAGGAGATGAGCAACGCCGAGTGGGTCTGGTTCGACACGAACCCGGCGTAGGCCATCGAGTAGCCAAACCCGGCCTGGCTCCGCGCGCCATGGAGCACCGCGTTGGCCTGCTTGGTCGTCAGCCGGATCTGCGGGTGGTCGGACGAGACGTTGAGGCCATGGAAAATGACGAGTTTGCCGCGGAGTCGGCCGTAGTGCGGCATGGCGAGGACCAGATCGTTGATGCCGTCCGGGTTGAGCGACGGGACACCGAGCACGCCGCCGGCGACCATTTCGTTGCGCTCGACACCGGCAATGATGACATTGGCGGTCTCGCGAGTGTAAGGATCGTCGGCGGCGCGCGCCGAGCCGAATGGGCCCCAGAAGACGTACACCTCGCCGCGCATGACGTCGTCCGGATCCGCGTCGTTAAACGTCGGGTATTGGTAGCAGGCAATAATGACGTCGTTCTCGCCATCGCCGTTAAAGTCGACGACGTCGATGGCGTTGGCAAAGCCGTTGGGAATCATGAGCGTGATGTTTCCGCCACTCGGGACGGGAAAGACAGTTGAGATGAGCGGCCCCACAAACTGGGCCGAGATGCGGCCGCCGGCGTGCAAATCGTCGAAAATAAGCACCCGGCCCGCCGCTGAGCCATAGCCCGGCTCGGCAACGATGAGCTCATCGCCGGGCACGCCGTTGACGTCTGCACACCGCAGCGTGTCGGAAAACTTCGCGTCGACAATGGTGCCTTCGAGCGCGAGGCTCGCATCGGCCACCGAGTACTGGGTCCCTGTCAGCGGCCCGGTATACACAAAGATGGCGCCCTCCTTGGTGTCGGTGCCCGAGACATTGAACGTTGGGTCGCCGATCACCAGATCCATGCCGGGCACCGAGTCGACCTCGCACACAACAATGGCGTGGCCAAACGTCGAGCCTGTCGTCAACGGATCTCCGTTGAGCACAATGTCTGCGTCAGCGAGCGTGAGGTTGACCTTGCGCGCGCTCCCGTCCGGAGCCTTAGTGAACGGCCCAAAGAACACGTACACGTATGCTGTAATCGTCACCTGCGACGACATGATCAGATCGTCGTAGCCGTCGTGATTGACGTCGCCGGTCACCACCAGCTCGCCAAACCGAGCATGGTACGATCCGTTCACGCCCACCTTTGGCTGGAAAGAGAAGTCATAGTCGTCTGCCGAGGCCACCGCATCGAGTGGGCCAAGGTAGAGTGCCACAGGCCCTACATGCTTGGCCTCACGCGATGGCGATCCGTACTGCCGTGTAATCATGTCGGCGTTTCCATCGTTGTTGATGTCCTTGGCGTCAAAGACTTCGCGGCCAAACTGATTGTCTAACCTCCCCTCCCCCCGGAGTCCCAAAGTCATCATCATCATCACCAGTCAGTCCCATTCACACCATCACCAGGGCGACGCCATCAACCAAATGATGTCGCCATGTCGCCAGGTCACGCGGCAGCTATGGCCAGCCAGGCCCCCCCCCCCTCCCCCCTCCCTTCCCTTTGGTCCCCCATCCCCACCCCCTGCAACCTTCTCTTACCCCCCCCCCCCTCTCCTACCCCCTTCCTCTCCCCCCATTTGATGACAGCAATATGCACTGTGTGTGTGTGTGTCAAAGGGGGGGGGCAGGTTTCGGGTCCGGGTGATGATGGCACGCAGCACGTGCGAGTTTGAATTAGAAGCTTGCCGCAGCCATGGCTGGAGACGAGGTAGGGGATAGTGACGTACGGCCAGGAGGTCCAGGGATGATGTGATCTGTCTGCAGGCCGTAGAAGAGGCCGCGTCCATTGACGGCTATGGCTAGGATGACAACCAGTGCCAGTGAGTACACCAGCCGGAGCATGGTGCCGAGACAAGCGTGCAGGTATGGGTCGAGGTCGAGAGCGGATTGCGGAGGCATGGAAGCCGCAGCACGAGCCTGGCTGAATGCGGCGAGCGCCAGTTTGGAAGGAGAGGGAGCTGGTGTTCATTGTTGAAGAGCGCCTCGACCGATTATCCGATCTTGACCACCGAGTCCGAGACAAAGGTGTACTCGGGGATCTCGAGGTTGCGCGGAGCCGGGCCCTTGCGGATGCGACCGGAGCCGTCGTAGTGCGAGCCGTGGCAAGGGCAGAAGTAGCCGTTGTAGTCGCCCTGGCCGGCGATGGGCACGCAGCCGAGATGGGTGCAGATGGCAAGGAGGACGAGCCACTCGGGGCGGCCCGGGGCGTGGCGGATGGCATCGGTTTCCGGGTCGCGGAGCGTCGACGTGTCGAGCGCACCCTCGCGGTCAATGTCAGCCTTGGTCCGGTGCTTGATGAACACCGGCTTGCCGCGCCACTTGACGACGACAGACTTGCCCTCGGGGATCGACGCGACGTCAACCTCGACCGACGACAGCGCCAGAACATCCGCAGACGCAGACATCGTCGAAACAAAGTCCACAACCATAGTCTTGGCCATCGTCGCAGCCACAAACCCGGTCGCGCCCACCATCATGTACGCGTAGGCGCGCGACGACTCCGGCGTCTCGCCCTTGGCCTTGTACTTTCCAAAGTCCGGGCCCGTAGTCGGCATGCCCGACGCGTGCCGGACCAGAGCCGACGGCGACGAGAACGCTATTCTCCCGCAACGTCCACGAGCCAATCCATGCCCCCCCCCCATCATATCGTCGTCGTCAGTATCCGCGAGTCATCGCCAACCACCGCGCCAGTCGGTCCACAGCGTGTTGTTCCACATATACTCGGTGAGTACCCATCCATGTCACGCCCACCACTTGCCCCCTTCCTCCCGCTTGCATTTGTTGCCGAGCAACTTGCCTCCACACGATATTTCCCCCTCCATATCTCACACCCAAAGCCCATGTCCGCCGTTATGCGGGACGCCACCGCTGAGCGGCAGCGCCGCCTCGTCGCGCATCCAATTTTTTGCCGGCCGAAGCTTGTCGGGGCGAAGCATAAGGAGCGCATGGGGGCGCGAGGACGGCCCAGGGATAGCAGAGTGGAGTGTGTAGAGTGTGGAGGAAGTCATGGCATGTGTGGTGCATGGTAGCAGGCGCTCGACGCTGCGGTAGCTCCTGCCGCCGCCGCGGAACTGGCCAGCGGGCGGGCGGGAGGGCCAGCGCGTCAGCAGCCGAGCGCTCGGTGGTGTAGGGCGTACCGTCAAGGGCCGGCGCAGCGGCACGCAGGGCCGGAGCAGCAGCAGCAGACTTGGCGTTGGACTCGTCGTTGGACGAGGAAGAAGCAGGCGTGCCCATGAGCAGGGCAGGCGCCGCCTTGGGCACAACCACCCGCGCAGACTTGAGCGCGCTGGGAACAAGCAGTCGCAGCATGAGTGCCGAGCGAGAGAGAGATTCGCCCGTCTCTGACGACGATACCGGCCGCCATTCAATTGTTGCATTCATCAATCATAGCGTCAGCCCCGTCGCAACCCCCCCACCCCCCCCCCCCCCCCCCGCCTCCTCCCCCACGACGATCGAGACCCTTCTGCCCTCACAACAACGGTTCAACAACCGCATCCCCTCCCCCTTCCCCACCACCACGGCTCCCGTTCTCTCCCCATAATCCGTCATCAACATCATCACAGCAACTGCGGGCAAATTCCCCCCTCCCCGCCCCCCCAAACCGCCAAAGCCACCGCAGTCGCCAACCGATCACGATCAGCTGTGCTGCCGGCGCCCTCCCCGGCTCCGCACTTGGAGACGTCTGGCACCACCGCTCGCGTGACCTTCTTCCTCCCCCTGCCTTGCACAGAGACTACAACTAGTTTGTAAGATCCAAGCGCATGCTGCCTGCTCAGTTCTTCTCCGCAGAGGCCCTGGAGGCGGCATCTTTCGTGCCGCCACCGCCGCTGCCGGCCCATGCAACGGCGCCGCTGGCGTCGGCCGCCTCCAAGTCGGAGCTTCACACCGTGTCGGGTTGGAAGAATGGCTCTGCAGCTCCATGGTGGGAGCCTGAAGCTGTGGCTACCAAGCTTCTTGCGGCCTCGGGCCCGCCATACTCGCCGCAGACCTCGCTCCACTGGGCCGCCGCCTGTGTTCTCTCGGCGCAGGTGGCTGCGGGGCTCGACCCGCCGGCCGCCGTCGCGGTCCCGGCCTACCATCTTGCAGCGGCAGCGGCTGCGCTTGCCCGTCTTGACGGCTGGCAACCCCCCATGGACTCGGACATTCTCCAGGGCGTGCACACGTACTACGACGCTGCGGCCGACTTGCTGGATCTGCCAGCCGTTGTCTCGCCCTGGCGCGAGCGCCTCCACTGGGCGCTTCGTCTCGCCAAGCACGCGCTCACTGGCGCGGACTCGGTCGACGCCCTGCTTTCTGCGCTCCGAAACCTCGCAGCTGCAGCTGCTGGCACCCTTGCAGCTGCTGCCACGCCCGAGGAGCTCGCGCCACTGGGCTCGCAGACTGCCAAGGCTGTCCGCGCCCTCCAGCACTGCGCCGGCGCGGCGCTCTTCTCGGCCTCTCTTCTCGGCGAGTGGGTCGGCTACGATGACTCGGGTCGCCCTATCCGCGATGCTGCCCGTGAGGCTTCAGCCAACGCCCAGCGTTCTGTCGCGGCCGTTGCTGGCTGGACCCGAGCCTTTGTCGACGCACTTGCCGTCCACGCTGTCGTGACCACCAAGTCTGAGAAGGCTACAGTGGTCAGCCACGCTCAGAACGCGCTGACCGGGCTCACCGAAGCCGTCGATGCCCTCGCTCTCGCCGCCGTTCATGTCGTCGAGCGGGCTGGCGTCTCGCATCCGGCCGGCCCAGAGGTGGTCGGCCTCGCCCGCGAGCTGCCGAACCACGTTGCCGTCCTCAAGGAGGCGACGCTGTTCTCGACCCCGAGCACCACCTCGACCGCCTCGTCTGCCGCTCGCGCCTTTGCCCGCGCCCTCGATGCTGTCATTGCCCAGGTCGCTGTTCTCGCCATCGAGGCCGACCTCGCCAACGCCCCCGGCCTCACCGCCCTCTCGTTCCCGCCACAGCACTCGCCGTGGGCCAACGCAGTTGTTCCGTTCTCGCAAGCGGCGTGGAAGCTGACGCCTGCCATCCTTGACGGCGCCAACGACATCAAAGTCGCCTGGCCAGACAGCGTGGCGCACCTGTCCAACACCTCGGGCGGAGGGAACGCGTCCGACTCGGACATCGACGACGTCGACGAATCGTCGGCAAGCACCCGCCCAGCGTCGGCCGCTGGCGCTCGCCCTGGTTCCGATTCGCGCCCGCTCGACATGGGCGACATTCACATTGATGTCGGTGGAAGCCAGCCGTCAAGCACTCCTTTGCACCCACCCAAGGCCAAGGAGGTGGCGCCCAAGCCTCTCACCGCCGCAGCTCTGGAGCCTGCGGCGTCAGGTCCGCACCCACGCCTCGAGCCAGTCAAGGCCGGCTCGTACAACGAGGTCTTTGAGGCCATTGTCGGCGTCACCAAGTCGATGATTGCCGAGTACAAGGCGCTCAAAGAGTCGCAAGCCAAGGGCAGCGCCGGCAAGATGCGGCTCGAGCTCTCGAGCGCAATCAAGAAGGCAGCCCGTGGCGTCAAGACACTGGCAGTCTCGGGCGGCGTCCCGGACTCACTCGCCGACGCGCTGCCGGCTTTTCTCGCCAGCATCGAGATGCTGCAGAGCGACCTCGCGTCGCTTGCTGACCAGCTGCGGGTCTTTGACGAGCCGTCGGCCGACGCGTTGCTCACCTACGCCTCGGCCGTCGACGTTGCCGGCCACAAGCTTGCCCGTGCTCTCGAGCCCGTCCGCGACGTCGGCGAGTCGTCGCTCGGCAACGCGACGGTGACTGGACGCGTTGTCAAGTACGGCGTCCAGCTCTGCTCGGCACTCAACGGGCTGCTGGGTCCCGGGCGCGACCTTGTTATACATGTGCAGACCATTGCCGCCTCGCGCGCCGCCTCGCGCACCGCCACCGCCGCCACCGCGCTCCCGGTCACTGCGCCGCATGGCGCCTCGGTCTCGGCAACGAGCCCAATGGGGCTCATTGCCACCGGCAGCGCCACCGGCATCGGTCCGCGCCTTCCAGTCTCGGCCGCGGCCGAGCTTCACAAGCAGGTCATCCACTCGATCGAACAGCTCGCACGGTTTCTCGCCGCACGATACAAACTGGTCAAGGAGGCTGCAAGCGGTCCGGCCCATCCCATGCTCAGCCCACGTGACATGGACAAGCTCTCCAAGGCGTTTAAGCACATTTCGCGGACCGTCCACGCTCTGTGGAAAGAACTCAAAGACGGCGAGCTGCCGGCTGTGCCGCGCCTGCGCCTGCTGATGGAGCACCTTCTCGGCGCCCTGGAGGAGCTCCGCCTCGCTGCGCTCCACCTCCACACCGTCACCGCCGTCGAGAGCTCGAACACCGACGCCCACGCAGCCGCCCTCGCCTCGGCCGCGGCTCTTGTTTTCGAGCACTACGCCGCGCTGTACTCGGAGGATCCAGCTCCGTTCGACAAGGCAGTCTCGGTGGCCTTTGCCATCACTGCCGCCACCGCCAACGCTGCCTGTCAGCTCTTGCTCGCCCCGAGTGACGACGGCGTGACTTCGTTCAAGGCTCATCCGGTGACCGACCCGCAGGCTGCGTACGACGCGCCTGTCACCGTGCCGTACATTTACCTCGGCTCGTTTGCGGCATCGGCCGAGGCCTCGGCGCTCTCGCCCGAGACTGGCTCCGGTGCCGCTCCAGTGCCGAGCGCCCACAACATGGCGTACAACTCGTTCACCGGCCTTGCCGAGTCGTGCAACGCCACGCTTGAGCTCCTACGCTCGGCCGGCTCGTTCTCGGCCCAGCAATCGCTTTGCTCGCAGCTGGCTGTCATTCTCGAGCCAGCGCAGCGGGCGTTTGCTCAGCTGACCAACACTCACGGGGTCTTGGGCAGCCAGTTTGGATCCGCCGCAGCCGACGTCGGCAATGCCGCGCTCACTCTCGCGGCCTTTCTCACCTTTGTGGTCTCGCAAGGCCTCGCCGAGCCGGCGTCGCAGCCAAACCTTGAGCGGCTGCACTTGGCGCTCCGCGCTGCGACCGCCAGCTATATGGACGATGTCAGCGTTCGGCTCGACTCGACCACTTCGGGCGAGCCAGGCATCGAAGGTGGGCCGCGGTATGTGTCACCGGATGAGGGTGACGGTGCAGGCGCCGATGAGTCGGGTAGCGCTCGTGAGATGGCTGGAGCAGCGAACCCGGTTGCCCACATTGCCACCATCGACGCCTTTGTCGCCGCTTTCGGCGAGGCCATCACTGTCGCCACGCTGGAGGCCTTTCAGGCCGACTGCAAGCTGGCAAGCGCGCTGCGGCTCTCTGAGCCGCTTGTCACCGCATACACAACCTCATTGGCGAGCGCCATATCCGCGGTCGACGAGTGCGTTAAGCGCGTCGACTCGGAGACCCAGGCGATCGACCCGGACATCGAAGAGCCGCCGAGCTCCGAGCTTGTCACCCCGGTCACGACCGGATATCGCGCGTTTCTGGTCAAGGTGCGCAACGCCTTGCAAATGCTCGCCAACACCAATGGCAATTACGTACAGGTACCTGCCGCATCGGCGGCGCTCGTAACCGAGCTGGAGGGCGTGCAGGCGACGGTCGAGTCGACACTCGGCGCGCTGGGCTCGTTCTCGTCGGCATCGACATCGAACCTCGGCTCCGAGGCGCGGCAGTTGCGGCAGGCGACCGTGGCCATGACGTCGTCGGGCCAGGCCTTTGTCCGCGCCCCGCAGAACGCGGATCGCCAGCGCGATCATGGGTCGGCGGTTGTTGCGCTCGCCAGTGCGCTCGCGGCACTGCTCGGCTCGCTGACGACAGTGACGCTCGAGGTGTCGCGGGCCTCGGGGCCGTCACAAGACCACTTTCTGGAGGCGTACACTGAACTCGGCGATGCGGGCGCGAGGCTGGCGTCGATGGCCAAAGAGATCAACAGGCTCGACTCGGCCCGCGGCGGCGGGCCCAAGTCCAAGACCTGGTCGCACAAGCTCTGCGTCACGCTGCACCATGTGGCCAAGGCTGCGCGCAACGCGTCTGCGACCGCGAACGACCCGTCTGCAGTTGCCACCAATCTCTCTTCGGTGGCGCAGGCGCTGCAAGGCATGACCGCCAAGTACTCGCGCCTCCTCTCGCGCATGTGTGCGGTCCCGGTGGCTGGCTCGGTTGCCAAGGCCTCGACGCTGCTCTCGTCAGCTTCGGACGTTCTCACCGATGGCCTCGCCAAGTACGAAGAGTCGCTGCAGACGCTCGAGGCGGCTGCGACTGACGCGTCGATTCAGGGCACCCACGCTCGGCGCACTACCGAGCTCTCGCTGGCTCTCCTCGACACCGCCCAGTGCGCCCGCGACCTGGCAACGCTCCTCGACTCGCCGCCCAACGAGTCGCCGGCAAGCTCAGCACGGAGCTGCGAAGGCGCCAGTGATGGCGGAGTCGAGCCGCTTCCGCCCGCGCCCGGCCCAGCCGTCAACCTGGGCCGTACGTTCTCGAGCCGGCTGAACGCCGGCCCGTCTGCGGCCGACCTCGGGCCAGACGCGTTTTGCAACTCGCCTATTGTCGGCCCAGCGTACTCGGACCTGTTCCAGGCTGCGGTTGCTCTCCTCCAGTACGAGCGATCGCTGGCCGAGACGGGGCTCTCGTCATCGGCGGTTTCGGCACTCCTCGAAGTTGTCGCCTCGCTCAAGGCCATTGCGTCGGCGGCGACGGTCGAAGACGCCCAGTCGGTCAACGCCGAGCGGCTCAAGTTCCAGCTGCCGGAAATGCTCGACGTCCTGCGCGGGTTGGTCCGCGAGCGTGCTGGCATTGACGATGAAGGCGACGAGGTGAGTGACGCCGAGACCGCCAGTCTGCTGCGTAGCATCGAGGACATCGAGCACGCCGCGGCACGGTTCACCGTCTCACTCAACCGCATCGGCGCCACCGACGACGCGCTTGACACCCACGCGTCGGACGCCGCGGTGCTTGCCGAGCAAGTCCGCCGCGTCGTCGGTGCCGTCACCGACCTCTTCTACGAGGGGCCCGGTGGCGGCCGATCCGGCTCGGTCCGCGGCGGCAACCGGTTTGACGACCTGCACGCCCTTGCTGAGTTCCTCATCAAGCGCTCTCGGGCGCGGGACGCCGGTGATCCTGCAGTTTACTCGCGGCGGCTGGCGAAGATTGAGGACGACCTCGCCGAGCTCCTCGAGGTCCTTGTCAAGCAGGCGGACCTGGCGGCTGAGGCGCGGATCGAGCTCGCTCCGACTCGCGAGGCGTGCCAGGGCCTCGTGTCGGCAGCCGATGTGCTCAAGTCGATCGCCACCGCGACCGCCCGTCGCATCTCCGACTCGGGTGATTCGGGTGAGGCGCTCGCAGCTCGGATCCAGCCGCTGGCGTCCAAGGTGGTGACGAGCGCAGCAGACTTGGCTGATCGCCTCGCGCGGCTGACATCAGGCGGCGAGCGCGAGGCAACTGGCGCCTGGCGCGAGCTTCTATACGGGGCCAACTCGGTCTCGCTCCACATCCTCACTCTGCTGGAGAGTCTCGAGTCTGCCAGCGGCGACCATGGCGATGATGCGTCGGTGCTGGTGCCCGCCGGCGCGGCCGATGCGGCAGTTGATGACGCCGGCGACAGCCCCGCCGGCGAGACTGGGTCGGGTGGCAAGGCTTGCTGCATTATCTTGTGAACAAACGCTGATGTAGCGCAACGTGCGGTGACGTGGGACTGGTATCGCTGGGCGGCTACGTAAAGTAGTCACGGAGAAGCGCGAGCGCCACACCGTTGGTCCACCCAAAGCCGGTGGCCACGGTGTACTCGCCTCCTCCGCCGGGCTTGCCAAACTTGAGCACGTTGTACTTTTCCCACATCAGGCCGGTCGAGTTGTACGCCGCATAGTTGGAGGCGAGCCAAGTTTTGGCGAGCTGGGTGGCGAGGCTCGCCTCGCCAAGTGCCTCGAGGGCATAGATCGAGAAGAACTGCATCGGCGCCCATGCGTTAGGCATGTCCCACTGCTGGCCCGAGGTGGCCAGCGACGTAGGGATGCCGGCGGCAAAGTCGAGGACGCCGAGTCCCTGCAGCGCGTCGCGGATCTGCGCGCTTCGGCTCGCGTTGCCGGAAGCAAGACCTGCCCAAATTGGGATCATCGACGCTACGTAAAAGTCCGAGTGTGGCGGCACACCGTTGGTCCACCCAAAGCCGGTGGCCACGGTGTACTCGCCTCCTCCGCCGGGCTTGCCAAACTTGAGCACGTTGTACTTTTCCCACATCAGGCCGGTCGAGTTGTACGCCGCATAGTTGGAGGCGAGCCAAGTTTTGGCGAGCTGGGTGGCGAGGCTCGCCTCGCCAAGTGCCTCGAGGGCATAGATCGAGAAGAACTGCATCGGCGCCCATGCGTTAGGCATGTCCCACTGCTGGCCTGAGGTGGCCAGCGACGTAGGGATGCCGGCGGCAAAGTCGAGGACGCCGAGTCCCTGCAGCGCGTCGCGGATCTGCGCGCTTCGGCTCGCGTTGCCGGAAGCAAGACCTGCCCAAATTGGGATCATCGACGCTACGTAAAAGTCCGAGTGTGGCGGTTGCACCTGGCTTGCGGCCGAGACATTATAGTCAACGTACTGGCCAGCAGCCTCGTTCCAGAAAAATGCATCAAAGGCCTGCGCACGGCGATTGGCTGCGGCCGCGTACTTGGCCGCGTCCGACGACCGGCCGAGCACAGTAGCGAGCCTCGCCAGGGTAGTCTCGGTCTGGAAAAGGAACGCGTTGAGATCAACAGGCGCGAGCGACGAGACGCAGATCGACGAGATGTCCGAGCCCGTGGCGAACCAACGGGTGGAAAAGTCCCATCCAGTCTCCGCACCAGCGGCAATCTGCGCGTAGAGGCACGCAGCGTCGACAGGGCCCATACCCTGGGCATGCTGGAGGTCCTCGACATAGCCCTCGGGGCGCGGCATGCCGACTTTGGGCCGGTAGATGTTGAGCATCTCGCCTGACGACGTGGTTACGACCCGCTCCGTCATCCACCAGCCGTACTCTTTCGCGATGAGCGGGAAGAGCGTCGAGACAAGGCCCAAGTCGTGGGTGGCATCGTAGTACTCGGCAACCATGAGCGCAAAGAGCGGCGGCTGGGAGCGATCGATGTAGTAGCGTCGCCCGCCGTTGGGCACAAAGCCAAAGGTCTCAACCATGGTGCCAAAGTTCTCGAGCATGCCCGCCACCGTCTTGGTCAGGCCGCACTCGAGCAGGCCGCGGAGGATCCAGAACGTGTCCCAGTTGTACCACTCGCGGAAGCGGCCGCCAGGCACAACAAACCCGTTGGGGACGTAGAGCAGCGAGTGGGCGTCGGGCCGGTCCTCGACATCGGCGACAACCTTGCGGCCGAGAGTGTGCCAAAGCGCGTTGAGATCAGCCGCCCATGCGCCGTAGCTTGGCGAGCGGGCAGCGACTGCGGCAACCAGCGGCGGGTGCGGCTGCCAGTCAGGTGGGAGCCAGGCCTCGAGGTCCGACCCAGGCTCGTCATAGTGGGCGAGGTAGATAGCATGGAGTACGGATGCGTTGGCCTTCTGACTTGGGCTCAGTGCGTCGAACACCCCCAGCACGTCCGCGGGCGTGACTCCAGGCAGCAGCGGCGCATCTACAAAAGTCTTCGAATCGTTGAACAGTCCCGAGAGCTGGAAGGCATGGAGCAGCGGGCCGGAGCAGAAGAGCGCCGAGTCGCACGGCGGCGTGTCGGCAAAGCACGCCATGCGCGAGGCCGGCAGCCCGCACGGACTACCCCCCGCCACCGTGGAGGGTGAGAAGATGAAGGCAAAGACAAGCACGAGCGTCAGGACCTGGTGAAGTTCTGTCATGGTGACGGGAGAGTGGTGTGGATAGATGGCAAAGGCTGAGGGCTTGTCTCCCTGTGTGCCTGCGCGTGACCAGAGGGAGTTTGGCGTGACTTGCGTCGTCGCATTGCCTGCTGCTCGATGTTTGGGGGACTATCAGTATGTGTGGATGTAGGCACTCGGGTTGTGGCAACGCTACAGGAATCGGCTTGGTTGCGTCATGCCATCGCTAGCGGCAACGATGTGGTGAGATGTGTTTGGCGGGCTGGGATCGACTACCAACTCTCTCGCCCGACAGCTTGAGATAAAGGGGGAGGAAGAGAAGGAGGGAGGGACCGATCAAAAGTCGTCATCATCGTCGTCCCACGAGTCGTCGGCAGAGCCCTCGTCCTTGCCCTTCTCGCAGGCAACAGTCATGGCCGCCGGCTGGTTCCCGGTCTCGAGGAATGACTTGAAGGAGGAGAGGAGCTTGGCGTTGATGTGATCGGTGGCCGTGACCTCGTACTCGTCGCCAACTTCGGCGTAGATATCATCTTGCTCGCCGATGGCCACGAGCCTTGCCGTCTCATCGCCATCACCGGCAATCGCACCGGCGCCAGCACTGCCGGAGCCCTCATCTCCACCGCTTGCGCCTGTGCCATTTCCACCTGCTGTATCGGTCGCATTTGCTGTCTGTGCTGCTTCTGCTGCCTGCGCCGCCTCGGATGCCTCGGCCGCTGCCGCCGCCTGAGCCATGAATCGGGCGAGCTTAGCCGCCCGCTCCGGCTCGCGCTCCATGCCCAGGTGGACCACAGGGTCACTGTGGGAGGGGGAAAGGTGAGTACAGAAAGGTGAGTAATGAGAGGAGAGGAGAAGATGAGCGTGGCCACGTACGCCATGTTGGTGGGATGGGAGAGAAGTGGTGGCGCCAGTGCGCGGTGCGCTGTGAGCGTTGAGGGTGCGCGGTGCGCGGGTGTCCTACTCGACGCGCGGCGCGGCGGCGGTCGCCAAGGAACGATGCTTCTTGGCTGGTGGAAGGTATGGCTCTGGCACGGATGCACGGGTTGAGGGCGACGATGGCGCAGATAATGGTTGTAGGACAGATGGAAGCGAGAACGAGGAGGTGTCCGAGGACGAGGACGAGGCGAGGAGGGAGCCCGGGCTTCCGGCGAAGGCGAGTCCGAGTACGAGCCGAGTGAGAGGCGCAGCGGCGGCGTCAACGATCCATGCTTGCGCTTGCGATGAGACTTACACAAAGACGAGGAGGAAGCAGCTTTGCTAGCGATCGCATTGCCCTCGTCGCCATCGCTGTCGTTGGGAAACGAGAGAGGGACGAGCGGCCTCAACGTGGCTGGATGCAGGTGCCCGGCGGCGATGGCGCGGGCGAGAGCTGGTGGATGGAGCGGGCCGAGGACGGCCGCATGCAGATCGGCTGGCAGCGGCGGGGCGTCGTGTGGCAGTGGAGGGATGGACGCCAAATCGAGCGGGAAGAGCGGCCTCGCCTCGTGGCTTGCGGGATCAAACACGGTCTGATGGCGAAAGGTGAGCCGGGCAGCAAGAAAGGCCGTGAGGTAGGAGCGTGGTACGGTGTCAGTCGCCGCGAGAACGTTCAACAGCGTAGCAAGCGTCGGCGCGTGCTTGACAAGAGCATGTGCGCGCTTGAGACCTGTGCCACGGAGCGAGGGCCCGTAGTCGCAGCCGGCGAGGATGCACATGTGCAAGAACATGTCACCATCAAAGCCGACCAAATCGAGGCTGGTCGAGCGAGCGAGATGGGCCAGCCGGATCATGTGCGCACGGCCAGAGTCCTTGTTGAACTTGACCAGTACGCGATCGACGCCGTAGGCGAGCATGTCCGAGTCGTCGGTGACGACAGCCGAGATGACACCGGCGTGGAAGAGGGCAGCGAGCTGGGCATCGGCCTCGTACGGTGCAAACATGCAGGCGATACCAGCTGCATCCAGCACCTGCTTTGCCGCCGCCGCCATCTCGCATGAGACTGGGAAGCCGGCCATGAGCTTGCGGTAGCCACACTTGTTGCCTCCAGCCAGTTGGGCGAGGCCTTCGGCAACCTGGCTCGCCCTCGATGCGCACCGCACGGCCTCGAGCTCGGCCTTGACCGGAACCACAGCGCCGTCAAAGACAACCACAGGTGTGAGTCCTGCATCCACCAGTGTCTGCGCTGCGTCGAGGACGTAGTCGGCAAACCGCCGGGTCGGCCTGCCTGTGCAGAGCTCGTGTGCGCAGATGTAGCCGCCGCGGAAGAGCCAACTTGCTCCATCGACTCCAACAACGCTCCCAGTAAGCTCAGAGACGTGGATTGCAGTAGTCGCCCCATGGAGCGCCGGCAACAAGCCGGAGATGCCCATCGCCGGATGAGTCGAGTGTAGCGGTGGGCGGCTTTAGTCCCGGAAAGCTGTACATCGTGGCACATCAAGAGATGGGCGGCTTGTCTGGATGCACGTGTGGCAAGATGGTGTGTATTGGCTAGCAAAGGCCATGCGTGCTGCAGCATCAGCGCTTGCAGTATCAAGCGCGTCGGCGGACGATGTCGCGCTCGACGCGGGTATGCCGTGCAGATCAGCGCCGTGGCCGCGAGGCGCGTGCCCGTCGTGTGCGAGGACGCGGGCGCGATCGCGGCGGAGGCGGCGGAGTCACTGGATGGGCCATGCGATCCGAGTCATACTGCACGTCCTCGACAGTGGCGCGGCCGTCCTGAGCCAGCGACTTGATGTTCTTGTACGCGCGCGCGATCTCCACAAACCGGCGATGGGCTGCATCCTTGTCTTCAAGCGACGTGGTATCCGGGTGGTATATACGTGCCAGCTTGCGGTAGGCCTTGCGGACGGCAGCCATGTCGGCATCGGACGAGAGGCCAAGAGTGGCGTACGACGACGCCACGATCTCGTCTGCGTAGGAGAACGACAATGTCTGATCCTTGAGCGCAGCCACGCCGAGAACCAGCACCAGCATCACGCACACGCCAATCACGTAGCCCGAGCATCCACCCTTGCCTGCCACCACTTCCTTTTGCGCCGCCCGATACTCGGCCAGCGGCACCAGCGGCGGTAGCTCGGCCCTCCCTCCCGTCACGCCGCCCGCCCCGTCGCCAGCCACGCCGCCCGCCCCGTCGCCAGCCACGCCGTCGTCGCCAGCTCTAGCCATCCACCGTATTCACGTCGCGAGCTAATACAAGGTAAACTAAATGAAGCCGTGGGCAGTTAGGTAGCCGTAGGCAGGCGGCTGGTGGCCCAAGCCCAGGCCAGGCCGGCCGTCCATGCGACACCAATGCTGCTGATGCTCGATGATGATGACAGCCCGATACAAGTCGCATCCTCGCCCCACACACAGACGCTCGGAGCTTACATCTTCTTTGACCTTTGCCTTTGCCTGTGTGCACTTGTATCATGCCGTTGATCAAGCGGGGGGACGCAGAGACATACGTTGATGATGTGGC